TTGTGGCATAGTGGAGGCTCTGTGCTAAAGGATACAATAAAATATAAGTATATGACTTAGTACTCTGTTACCGGATGGAGGGAACTAGATCGCTTAGTTTAATTTAGCAATTTATTGGACTATAATATTATTATAGAACTAATTTTAAATATATGATAGGGTCACTATTTTATTAAATTTGACTATGCATGTGTTGGATGTTAATTGTTAGAATAGTTTATTCTTTGATGCAATTACATGGATTACTACTGGATTTTATTTGCTGGATTGTTAAGATTCCTTCTACAATTATTGGATGGTGGTTTTTGGTCTGTAAATTATTGAATTGTTATATATGTTGTAATTTACATGGATATGGAGGATTGTATGTACCAGTATGGGACGGTGACATACTATGGACGGTTTAGCTCAAAACGCATAAACCTAACCTAACCTAATGGATTAATGGAATGGATTGAAAGATATCGAATCCTAATTGTGACTAAGTCAGATCAGCTATAACCAAGTTGGATAACTTCCTGGATTAACGGATGGTAGTTAAGTCATATCAATTGAATAAGTTGAGTGACTAACTAGTTGGTTATTGTATGTCAGTTTAATAAATAGTTGAATTGCATACCCTGCATTTGGACGGACTTTATATATATGTTTATGGTACCACAAGTTGAGCTTGAGTCTCAAACTCGTTGGTTAGGGTGCGTATATGCAGTGGATGCGTAGCTGGTTATAATAGGTTGAGGTGTACCCTGTTAGGTCTAGGTACTCATGCCCACCTCTGGGTGCGTATTCGCATGTTGCCTTCTATTCAGGTTGAGACCCCTATTATGGACTAGTGAATGTCCCTTAGTGTGGATATACTTATATGTAAGGACTAGATAGTTATTGCGAGGTGTCTACGGTGTATCTGCGTATCGGGTCACTGTATGGATTGCAGTTAGATTAGAACTTGCTCGTGGGTCTGACCCACTCCTTCATTATTCTTTTTAGGTACAGGACGGTTCCAGCCTTAGAGCTTGATCGTGCTTGTCGAGGACAGTCTCACCTTCATCAGATCACGTAGGACATCTTTCGATATTTCTAGCATTATCTATTTTCAGTTTTCAGTTTCAGTTGAACTTTTGGTTATGGGTCCATCAGTGGATTCCCAAGTTGTAACCTTGAAGTTTTGGAGGATTGGAGTTTCAATTTTCAATTATACATGGAGGATTTTATAATTAATGTTTCTTTCAGTTTTATTCCATCTTTATTGTTTCATTTTTTTCATCTGTGTTCGCTTTAAAATACTTTAATTGTTTGATATTCCCTCGGGTTTGGGCCTGGCCCTGATCAACCCGTGTCTCGGATCAGAGGGGTATCACATTAAAGGTGTTGAAAACAAGATTAAATGGTGTTGAGAATAAGATTAAAAAGTGTTGATAATAAAATTAAAAGATGTTGAGAACAAGATTAAATGTATTGATAACAATATTAAATGTGTTGAGAAAAAGATTAAAAATTGTTGAGGACAAGATTTAAGGTGTTGAGAAAAATATTAAAAAGTGTTGAGAATAAGATTAAAAGTGTTGAAAATAAGATAAAAATGTGTTGATAAAAAGATTAAAAAGTGTTGATAACAAAATTAAATAAGTTGGGAAAAAGATTAAAGGTGTTGAGGAAAAAAAAAAAAAAAGTATTGAGAATAAGATTAAAGAGGTTGAGAATAAAATTAAAGGTGTTGAAAAAAAACAAAAAAAAAAAAGAAAAAGGTTTTGATAACAAGATTGAAGGTGTTGAGAAAAAAATATTAAAAAGTGTTGAAAACAAGATTAAAGATGTTGATAAAAAAGATTAAAAAGTGTTATCATTAAAAGGTGTAGAAAAAAGATAAAAAAAATTTGTTGAAGGGGGGTTGAGAAAAAATTTAAAGGTATTGATATCAAGATTAAATGATGTTGAGAATAAGATTAAATATATTGAGATAAAGACTAAAAGTGTTGAGATAAAAATTAAAAAGTATTGAGATAAAGATTAAAATGTGTTGAGTTACAGATTAAAGGTGTTGAAAACAAGATTAAATGGTGTTGAGAATAAGATTAAAGGCGTTGAGAAAAAAGATTAAAAAATGTTGAAAACAAGATTAAAGGTGTTGAGAAAAAAAGATTAAAAAGTGTTGAGAATAAGATTAAAGGTATTGAGAATAAAAAAAAAAAAAAAAATGTTGAGATTAAGATTAATGAGATTGAGATTAAGATTAAATGTGTTGAGACAAAAATGAAAAATGGTGTTGATAACAAGATTGAAGGTGTTGAGAAAAAAGATTAAAAAGTGTTGAGAACAAAATTAAAGGTGTTGAGAAAAAAGATAAAAAAGTGTTTAAAGGTAATTAAGGTAAAAATTAAAAGGTATTGAGGCAAAGATTAAAAGTGTTGAGATAAAGATTAAAAGGTATTGATTAAAAGGTGATGAGTTAGAGATTAAAGGTGGTGAAAATAAGATTAAATGGTGTTGAAAACAAGATTAAAGAGGTTTTGAATAAGATTAAAGGTGTTGAGAAAAAAGATTAAAAAGTGTTGAGAACAAAATTAAAGATGTTGAGAAAAAAGATTAAAAAATATTGAAAGGTAGTGAGGTAAAAATTAAAAGGTATCGAGGTAAAGATTAAAAATGTTGAGCTCAAAATTAAAAGGTATTGAGGTAATGATTAAAAGGTGTTGAGATAGAGATTAAAGGTGTTGAAAATAAGATTAAATGGTGTTGAGAATAAGATTAAAAAGTGTTGAAAACAAGATTAGAGGTGTTGATAACAAGATTAGAGGTGTTGATAACAAAATTAAAAGGTGTTGAGAACAAGATAAAAAAGTGTTGATAACAAAATTAAATGTATTGATAACAACATTAAATGTGTTGAGAAAAAAATTTAAAAATTGTTGAGGATAAGATTTAAGGTGTAGAGAAAAAGATTAAAAAGTGTTGAGAATAAAATAAAATAAGTTGAGAAAAATATTAAAGGTGTTGAGAAACAAAAAAAAAAAAAAAAAAAAAAAAAAAAAAACAAAACGTGTTGAGATTTTTTTTTTTTTCCTTTCTATTTTATTTTATTTTTTTCTTTCTATTTTTTATTTTTTTTAACATTGTTCCTTTTTCGGTGGGATTCTAAATTACCAATTTAAAAAAAATACATTTTTTCACTATAGCATAAATACAGCACGGCCCGTTTACAGTAGATGATCTTAGTCCGTTAAATGTGTTTATAATCATCCCAAACAAATCATCATTAAATGCTACAACCAAGCTTACATAGAGTAAGAAAATCAATATAATACATGTTGCGCATTTAGATATGACTAGGACACAACAAATACCATATTCAATATTTTATTTCTTTTAATTAATCATTTCCCTTATCAATTTGTCTTTAAAATAATCATTGTTCAGTAGTTGGAGTGTTAATCGGGGGTGTTGAGTGGGATGAACTAGATAGTAGATACAAACCTAACTTTTCACTTGTATTTGACAAAAGTGAATGGAAATTTTAATTAATTTTTTTCCTGTCCTAGGAGAAAGAAATAAATAGATACAGATCATGAGTATGCATAATAAATATATATATATATATATATATATATATGTTGTATATATACACAAAATATACAGAGAGGTTGGTCGTTGAAGAAGACAAAGTTAGGTAGGTATTTGGGGCATGTGTGCCTGATCGTAACACACGGCTTCTTGTCCGTACATGTTGCGATGGCTTTTCTCATTTCTGAGCAATTATTACGTGGATTTCTTCTATCTGCAATTGTATGGACCACGAACTTCCGAAAAAAAAACAAACAAATGGTATGGACCACGTAGTGAGGGCTTAGGCTTTGGGCTCGTTTAGTGGTCTCAAACAGACCAAGCCCAAGGTCGACCCTCGAGTTTGGGGGCTCAACGGCCTTTTCTGGATTTAACTTAATTTTAATTAAGTTCTTCTGAAATTTGTCATTGTTATGTAAACCTCCCTCTTGTTTGAAAAACCATGCTGACCCCTCCCCCTCCCCACCACCAATTTTTTTTTTTTTTTTTGTCCCGATAAATAAGAGGCTAATATTTTGAGGGATGCGTTGACCTGAAAATATGAATTCAGTAAACCTAAAAGCAAACTCAATTCACTAGAATCCGTTCATTGAAAGAACATAAAATAAATCAATTAAAGAAATATGAGAAGAAGAAGAAAGGAACTCAGAGAGAAAAATAATAATAGTAAATAAGAGAGAGAGATGCATTAACATTTTATTGACATGGGGTGATGCAATTTATGCAGATAAGGTTTTTAATGGTATTAGCGACATTAATGTGACCTGTCAAATTATAAAACTACAAAACTCTTGATATATTTCGAATTTTCTAAAAACTCAATGAGGAGTGTCGTCCAGAGAATATTGTTGATATAAAATACAGATTGACATTGACCATCTATAAAAATATTCTAAATCACTTGCATCTTTAAATAATTACTTATAAAAAATATTATAAATCACATACAATTTTAAAATATTACTTATTTCAGTGTATGCTTCCTCATAAATTATGAGACAATTGTGCCTATATCTTAGCTCACTAATCCCGAATGATAATATTTATTATTTAGCAAGTAATATTATATGTCTTTTAAAATTTTAAATTTATATGATTTTGGAAAATTCCACGCCAAATGCGTTGACCAAATTTGGATTCCAACGCTATTTCTAAATTTCTTGTTTGGACAACCAAGTACTTAATTGGTACAACCAGTACTAACCTCATTGAATATACACTACAAGAAATAATTTTTATCCACCGCTGTTAATTTATTTTTTTCGGGCGTTTAAGAACAAAATGCCAGCTATTGAAAATTTTACCGGCTCTATTTTATAAACCGCCGGAATAATTATTTCAGGCAGTGTTTTTTAAAACGCCGGAAATAGTTAATTATATCCGGTGGTTATACAAAATATGCCGGTAAAATTTAATTATAATTATTTAATTTATTATTATTTTTTCCTAAAAGCAGGTTTGGGTAGCTTATTGCTTCTACTCGCACATAAACGCTCTAATGTCTATGCTTCCATTCTACTCTCTCACTGACCCACGACTTCACGACTTGGTGGTGCCCTTGGTGTGGCGCAGGAAGGATCACGGCGGCGGTGGTTGATTGGTGGCATATTGGAGATCTGGACAGTGGTGGTTGTTGAGTGGGGCTACTATAACTTGTAAGAACTTTAAACCCTAATTTCCCCTTCTTCTCAAGAACTCCACCTATATCTCTCTTGTATTCTCAATGAATGAATCAGCTTCTATTTTTGTTAACCACCGGTAAAGGACTTGCCGGCGTTTTGGGAACCTTATAGCGGCGGTTTAGACTGCCGCTGAAATTGTTGCAGTGCGAAAGTTACATTTCAAATTAAACTGGTTTAAAATAGGGAATAGCCATGTTATTCAACGAAGTTTAGATTAGATGAACCGAGTCAAAAGTCAACGTTGAAAAAATAAAACATAACTAGCGTTTATATTGAAGTTCTTTGTATCTGTAGTTTGTGTAATTTTCAGATTGGAGAGTTATTTTTACAAGAATGGACAGAAGGCTCTTTGAGGCTGCTTGGACAGGAAATGTTGAATTCTTGCACAAATTGATGGAAGATGATCCGTGTTTGCTCAATGCTGTCGCGTTAGCTGGTGGAGAAACTCCGGTACATATTGCTTGTTTGGCTGGCCATTTTAGTTTTGTACAAGAGGTCATGAAATTGAGGCAAGAATTTGGTAGAGAACTGAACCAAGATGGTCTTAGCCTTCTGCATATTGCGTCGGCTTGTGGGCATGTAGAGATTGTGAAGGAGCTTGTGAAGATGGACAATACTATCTGCATACTCGAAGGAAGAGAAAGAAGAATTCCGCTTCACTATGCTGCAATCAAAGGCAGAGTTGTTGTCATGAGGGAATTGCTTTCAGCTAATGGAGATTCCATTGCAGGCGTGACAGCGCGAGGAGAGACTGCTCTGCACCTGGCGGTGAAGAACAACCAATTCGAAGCCTTGAGAGTGTTGGTGGAACATCTCAGGCTATTCAAGAAGGAGGGTGTCTTGAATATGAAGGATTGCCTAGGCAACACCATCTTGCACCTAGCAGTCTCATCAAAACAATACGAGGCAAGCATATATCGTCCCCTCCCATGTCTTTTCGTATTTTTTTATTTTTATTTTTTTTTATCATTTTGTTTGCTTTTCTATAGATGAATGATAAAAGAAATCATGAACAGGTGGTTGAGTTGGTGCTTGGCGAACATGTTGTGACTGGGGGGGTAGTGGAGGTGAATCCATCGAACGAGGGGGGTCTAACGCCTCTTGATGTTCTAGTATTATTTCAAAGTGAAGCTGGTGATAGAGAAATCGAAGTGATCCTTAGGCGAGCTGGAGCAATGACAGCCAAAGACCTTCACTCATTGCATGATCAGGCAGCATTCAACCGAAATCAGGATGCTGCAGCTAATCACAATCCATCAAACGATCAGTCAAGAACAGTGCAGCATCGATCACTCTCTACACAATTGCAAGAATTCTTCAAGTACGATGACATCAAAGAGTCACCTAGCAAAGTACGGAACACACTGCTCGTGATAGCTATACTTATCGCGACAGCAACTTATCAAGCTGTGCTTAGTCCTCCGGGTGGTGTTTGGCAGGATGACTCTGCAGGCTCTGGTAACAGCAAGCCACACACTGCTGGGCGGGCAGTGATGGGCGCGAAGAATTGGATCTCGTATGGCTTGTTCTTGCTGTTCAACTCGATTGGGTTTTTCACATCCCTTCACATGATCAATTTTCTCACCATGGGATTCCCTTTGAGATTGGAATTGCAGGTGTCGATCTTCGCGCTGATAGTGACTTATGATACTTGCATGACTGCAATTGCACCAAATAGCCGAATAAGTGTGTTCTTCACTGTGATTTCTGTAGTTATTCCACTTTTAGTACCATTTGTGACCACTGTGGTGAGAAACCATTCAAGGAGGCTACCAAATGCATTAACCTGCGTCAACCAAGCTACTGTTTGAAGTATATATTTGTTGGTCAGTTGGAAATATGTAACAACCGTTTATGTTCAAAAGATGTAATTTGAATCTTTTAGTTATTCATTTGGATTTCATTAGATGGTCCTGCATTGAATAATTTTCATTACTGCTGCCTGAGTGCCTGTGTTGATTGATCAACTCTGGCAGCAACAATTTGTGCTAGTAAGTCCAGAGATATATACAAATTAATGTTGTGCGATTGATAGATTCGATTTTTTATAAATTTTGTTGTCCGCGAGCACGATCAAACATGGTGGCAGCCTAGTGTTAGCCGGTTAATTGACCCCTGTGACACCTAGCACCATGCTTATATTTTGAACTTGTTGCCCAAAACAAATTCTAGTTACATCGAACCGAGCTTGTTGGCGTTTGAGTTTGTTCCTTCCGCTCTTTTAACCAATTTCCAACTTACACTTGAATTTTAAATTAAAAATGACAAGGAGAAAAATTAATTATAAATCCAACCCTTAAAACTTATTTACGAATACTTTGTTCATAACTTCGTGGGGATAATGAAAAACATAACTTTTCATTAGTAATAAATTAGTGCGGCAAAATTTAGTATTTTATGGCAGGGTTTTGGCTGAGTACGCGACTAAAAAAAACTTCATGGGAAATAGTCTTACATTTTTGCCAGAAAAATACTTTATGGCACTAAGTTTTGTTTTAATTTTTTGTTTTTGTTTTTGTTTATATATATATATATATATATATGTATGTATAATTTTTGGGATAAAAATAAATAGCATGTATACAAAAATATGCTAGTTATATCAAATATCAATTTTAACTCAAAGGGAATAACTAGCAGCAAAGACTTTCACCTTACATTTTGGAGGTCGGGAGTTTGAATTCTCTCTGGACTACCTCCAGAGTTTTTTTCGATAATTGCTCGATAAATGTGGAATAGGGAGATTGTATGTGTCCCGATGGTGAATTATGAGTGTTCTAAGAGATTCAACATCACCATCATCGACAAAAAAAAAAAAAAAAAAAAAAAAATCTTAAAATTCACAAATTATTAATGTAATAATATAAATAAATATACACATACAAAAAAAAATTGGATTTGTACGCAATTTTAAAACTAGAACAAAAATGAATATCAGTCTAGTAGTATTTGTCTCTCTCTCAAATTGGAAGGTCAGCGTTTCACCTTGAGAGGAGAAAGTATTTAAGTTTAATTTTGGTATTAAAGCATTTTTTGCAAAGAAAGAAAAAACATAAAAGTATTTTTTTAATCGATAAATAAAAAAGTATTGGGATTGGCTTGAACTTGACGCATTGGAACGCATTATTATATTACCTCAGATATCGGGTCGGGCTTAAGCCTTGTGGTTGTCCGGCGTGTGCCTATATGACCTAGCCTTTTTTTTGGGGCCGACTATATGATCTAGACCTAGCTCAAACCCAGATTGGCCCAAATTCGTGATTGCCCGTTAGGACTTGTTTCCTTGTCGAACAAATTGTGGAAGGAAAAATCTACGGCAACACATTCTTGAGTGAGAAATTCTAGAGAGAGAGAAGGGGGAGGGGGAAAATGAGCGGCACCTCCAGTCTGCTGCAACTATGGCAGATTCCATCGACCAAATTACTGTTCAGACGCTCCAAATTTCCCAAGGGTTCGTTCTCTCTCTATATAATATATATACCCTTTCTATATTGATGCATCTTTATATACTAGCCATGGTAAACTCTGCCAGACTGCTACGACTACTTATAGTAAAGACCCAGTTATCTTCTCTGTTATGTCATTTTAATTTTTCATTTTATATTTGGAGTTCTATATGGGTTTTCGTTTAATCATGTTCTTTTTGCAAAAATGCCTGTAAATTTGACACGTATGTATGTATATAAATATACATCATCTGCTCGCGTTGTTATATTGGGTCAAATTCATGTACATATTTCAATGCTCTGAGTGTCGTTTTGGATTTGAACACTCTTTTATGTTAAACGTGTATTAGTTATGCGTTTGCTTTAGGGAAATCCATTTTTTTTTTCCTGTATGGTTTTCGAAGTCGTGGTATTTTTGGATGTTTAGGAGTGCTTTTGCACCAGTAAGATTCAAACAATTGGAAGGGCCAATCTTTGGTTGGGTTCAGGTGAATCCCTACGTGGTCGTTTGAGTACTGGGAGCTGGTGTGTAGGTTAAAAAAAAGAAAAAAAAAAAAAAGGAAGATGGGTCGGGTGTAATTTCATCATAAATACTTTCTAGGGAAATGATGTGATCAGAAGTAAATATGGTTTTCAGAAATATGGTTGTGACAATAATTTGGCTTCTAGAGTCACTATTGGAAAGACATCCTGGTTTACCCATTATACTAGAATCATACTATATAGTTCTAGACGGATATAGGATCGTTTCTGGGAGAATTTTGGTGAAGTGACTATCATTTCAAAGATTCTTTTTTTGACTTGTTCAAAATCTCCAATGTTCATGGGCCACCAAATGTTGAATTTTATGGTTAGTTCAAGTACTTCTGATTTTCCTAATTCTAAGTGGAATTCTCAATTTTAGTACCTTATTAGATTGAGAGGTTAGGAAACTTGCTTCTTTCTTCATCCCATCTCTTTGTATGCTTCTTATTAAATCCTCTTTAGAAATATTAATTTACTCCCTTTTCTTGTTACTATAATATTGAAAAATGATCAGGTCCCCTTTCCTAAGAAAGAGTGAACACTAAGGCTTTGGTTTGGTCAATGACATTAATGAGTTGCTCGAAACTAGGAATTCGTTAAAATTTTTAAGCCTGGATTGTATGTTGCGTGCAGAAGGAACATTCAGTCATGCAACTAGCTTTTTATTTATTGTTTTATTTGTTATGACCTTTGGCAAAGATTATTTGCTTTAACAAAAGCTATTTGGGCTGCTCCATGGGACGTTAGTTCCCTCCTTAAACCCTCTTTTATATGTTTTATCTTTAATGCAAAAGCTAGATTATTGGTGGATTGTGGTTTGACAGCCATAATCTTTATTAATTGATTGGGAAGAACTTAAGGATTCTTTGAGAAGTGCAATCCGGTTAAGAGTATCCTGGTAGCAGGATTCTTTTCATCTTTCTTATGGGTTTCCATTGTTAAAGCTTTCAATGAATGTTATTAAGTGTTATCATGAGTTACTACAGGGCTATTATTATTATTGTTGTTCTTGTTGTAGTAGTAGTAGTAGTAGTGGTAGTGGTGGTGGTGGTGGTGGTAGCAGCAGCAGCAGCAGCATATATTTCTTTTAAGCCTTTCGGAAGTCTCCACTTATGGTGATAATTAACTATGACCTTACCTTTTTTATTTTTTATTTTTATCCTGGAAACTCACACGCCCACATTGCTTTTATAGAGACTTGAACCGTCAACCTTCTGCTTTGAAAGGCGAGGGAGGAAGCGCCACTTGGCTACAACCCTTGTTGGTGTTATGTACCTTACTTTAGATTGCTGTTGTATGTATATTTTTAGATGCAATTGGGAACACTACTATTTAGATTTGCTATTAAGGTGGATATTTAGCTGTTCTAGCCTTCTAGGCAGCCTAATTGAGGGCTCTTCTACGGGTATTAGTCATTTTTTAATTGAGGGTGATGTGGATGCAATAGTTGGTTTGGTGAGATCTTAGCTCGAGGCTCTTGCCATTATGATTGGTTTTTTTTTTTTTTTTTGATAAGTAATAATAAATTAAAAAAGGCGTTCAATAGAGGAACGCGTCCCGTAGACATAAAAGAACCCGGGGTCTAAGGCCCCAAAGAATCCAAAAAAGAAATTAAATCAACAGAAGAGGAACACGAATTTCTGTTCACATAAGTAAAAAGAGAACAAAGAATAAAAAGTTTTAGTGTCGCTGTAGGTGATTCCTTCCCTTTAAACATTCTAGTATTTCATTCTTTCCAAATGCACCAAATACAATGAGGAACAGATCTCCAATAAGCACGAACACTCCTACTCATACAACAACCTCTCCAAGCATGAATCAGCTCTTTAGTAGAGCGTGGCATTACCCAACACATGCCAAATAGGCCAAGAATGACATTCCAGTAATCGCGCGCTACAGAGCAATGCATTAGGAGATGATTGACTGACTCCCCATCCCGCTTACATATACAGCACCAGTTAACAATAAGATTTCCCCTTTTCCTCAGATTATTGATCGTCAAAATCTTTACCCCAAATAGCATTCCATACAAAAAATGCCACCCTAGTAGGAGCCATAGAACACCAAATAGTCTTCCATGGAAAATCATAGGATGCAAATTTAGACAGACATAAGAACAAAGATCTTACTGCAAAACGCCCGTGAGGGGAGGGAATCCAAATCAAATTGTCAAAACCCCTTCCAATTCCTTATTGCCGACACAATTGAGCCAAGAAAATGGTCACCTCTTCCAACTCCCAATCTTGAAATGAACGCCGAAAATGAACATTCCATGTAATCCCACTATTATCAAGTTGATAACAATTGGCTACTATGGCATGTTTATCAACTGCAATACCATATAATTTGGGAAATGTGCGACATAGAGGCTGGTTCCCACACCAAAGATCTTCCCAAAAACGAACGCAACTACCATCACGAACTCTGAATTTGATATGAGAGGATAAGGCATCCCATCCCTTCCGAATGGACTTCCAAGCCCTAACTCCTCCCGCAATAGAAACCGGACGTGTAGTCTATCCGCCAACATCTTCCCCATACTTGCAAGATACTAATCTGCGCTAAGGACGATGTCTTTCCTTCCTAAATCTCCACAACCACTTGCCCAGAAGTGGTTGATTAAAAGGAATCACTCGTCTAATACCAAGACCCCCCAATTTTTATAGGCTTGCATACTTGCTCCCATTTAACAAGATGATACTTGAACTCATCTCCCCTTCCTCCCCAAAGGAAATTTCTTTGAATTTGTTCAATTCTATCAGCAACGGAACATGGAATTTGGAACAAAGAAAGAAAATAAGTGGGAAGGCTTGATAAAGTGCTCTTGATAAGAGTGACTTTACCCCCCTTAGATAAATATTGCTTCTTCCAACCGGCCAACCTCTTTGCATACCTATCAAGCACAGAATCCCAACTCCCCACTAACCTGGAAGAAACCCCTAATGACAATCCCAAATAAGGGATAGGAAAGGAGCTCACCCTGTACCCAACAACTGCAGCTAAAGAAGAGATATCCTGTACATTCCCGACCGGGACAAGCACACTCTTGGCCACATTCACCTTTAACCCTGAAACTGCCTGAAAGAAAGCCAAGATGCATCTCAAATATCTAAGTTAAGACACATCTGCATCACATAAAACCAGAGTGTCATCTGCAAATAGTAGATGTGAAATCTCCACCTGATTGTCAGCATCCCTTCCCACCCGGAATCCCTTAATGAGACCAAGATTCTATGCCCTGTGCATGAGTCAGCTTAAGCCCTCCATAACATTAAGGAAGAGAAAAGATGACAATGGGTCATCTTATCTTATACCCTGAGAGCACCCGAAAAAACCAGTTGGAGAACCATTTACAAGAATTGAGAATTTAACAGACGAAAGACATGTCTCAATCCATGTCCTCCATCTACTTTGAAACCCCATTCTTTCAAGCATGTAAAGAAGAAAATTCCAGTTAACATGATCATAAGCTTTCTCGATATCAAGTTTGCATAGAACTTCAGGAACGCCACTCCGCAACCTTGAATCCACACATTCACCAGCAATAAGAACTGAATCAAGAATTTGTCGTCCTCCAACAAAGGCATTCTGAGAATCCGAAATAATTCCATCCATGACTTCTCTGATTCTATGAGCAAACACCTTAGCTATGAGTTTGTAAATACAACCCACTAAGCTAATAGGACGAAAGTCCTTACTATCTGAAGCATTGCCCTTCTTAGGGATAAGGGTAATAAATGATGCATTGAGCCATTTTTCAAAAACACCAGTTGAATGAAACTCGTGAAAGGTACTCATCACTTCATTTCTCACAACCGCCCAACTTTCCATCAAAAAACGCATAGTGAACCCGTCTGGCCCCGGGGCTTTATCCCCATTACAACTGGATAAGGCCTTAAGAACTTCTTCTTCAGTAAAAGAAAGCTCTAACCCATCTCTCTCCAACACAGAAATAGCCTCAAAAGGAAGACCATCAAGCTTGGGTCTCCAACCTAAAAGTTCTGTGTAAAGCTTTTGATAAAAAGAAACGATCCCGCTGCGTACCTCTTCCTCCCTCCACAACTCCACGCCTTCAACCCGTAGACGTCTTATATTATTGCTCCTTCTATGAGCATTAGCAAGTTTTTGGAAAAATTTTGTATTACGATCTCCCTCTTTTAACCAAAGAGCCTGGGATTTTTGTCGCCACGAAATCTCCTCCATACAAGCAATCTCAGCAAGAACTGCCTGACATGAAGCTCTCCTAGTAGAAAGAGACTCCACATTTCCACCCGCCTCCTCAAGCCGATCAATCTCAGAAAAATCAGCAAAGACTTTATTCTTCCTTCATTCAAGATTCCCAAAGACATCCTTATTCCACTGCTTAAGAGCGAGTTTGAGAGCTCTTAATTTTTGTGTTAAAATGAAGCTGGGCGCACCTGTAACGATTGCTCCCTCCTACCAAGAATGAACTGTCCCTTGGAAGTCCTCCACTCTCAACCACATATTCTCGAAACGGAATGGGGTTTTTCTAGAATACAAACCCCCATAATCCAAAACTAAAGGAACATGATCGGAGGTAACCCTTTCTAATACCGCCTGAACAACATCTGGGAATTTTTCTTCCCACTCCCTAGAGATCAAAAATCTGTCCAATCTTGATATAGTAACTGGGTTTCTACCATTAGACCAGGTATAGGTTGCACCTTCCATTGGTAGATCAATGAGAAGGTGCTCATCAATGAAGGCGGAAAACTGATCCATGTCTATGGACCTTCTTCCCCCAGTAGACCTCTCTGACGGGAACTTGACTGAATTAAAGTCCCCACCAAACACCAAGGTAAAGAGCACAGATCATGAACGTGGCTTAGTTCCTCCCATATAATAGGTCTCTCAGCATCAACGACCGGTCCATAAACCCAGGAAAAAACCCATCTGAAATTATCTTCTTCCATCTTAAACTCACAAGAAATAGAAAAACTTCCCTTCCACACATTCAATCTGGACAACCACCTACTGTCCCACATGACTAAAATACCACCCGAAGAACCTGTAGCATCCAAGGCCTCCCATTCCACAAACCTTCCTGCCCACAAACTTCTAACCACCCTGTCAGTAACGGATGCCAACTTGGTTTCTTGCAAACAAACAACCTGGGCCCCCCATTTCCTTAGAGCTACCTTCACTACCCTCCTTTTATTTGGGTCATTGAGACCACGAACATTCCATGTAATGATTCGTAGCTTCATTAAAAACCATTTGAAATTAACTCCCCTCCCCCCTTCTTCAAACTCCTTCTTCTAGGCCTACCCCTTTCCATCACCACTCTTTTCTTCTTGTCGTAATTGACATCAGAGATGAGATTCTTAATCTCGTGAATCCCTTTCCAAGACGATATGGGCTTTCGTGTTTATAACTTCATTAGTGACTGCTATCTCAGTTCCAGTCACAATTGCTTGGAGAAGAGATAAAGTCTGAGCATTATTACCTTCTAAAGAAACTCCCAACAACTCACTGGTAGTTCCAATATTATCAACCACCCAGTCCTTCCCCAAATCAGTATCCTCATCATTAGGTCTCACCACTGCCAGAGGTTCCACCACTGATATGTTAGGGTCATCCTTCAGCCAAGGTTGAAGCTCAGTAAAGCAGATCTGTTGGATGGATCCCAAATCATCAGCCACCTCCTCTTCAGTCTTTCTGTCATACTCATAAACGGAATCTGAATCTGTAACATAATCACCCAGTCCAACAATACTACCAACCTCATTCTCCTCATCCGTTGCAGAAGGCACACATTTAAAACCTCTCAACACGACATTCAATCGTAACTCTTTGAACAAAGCCACAGCCTCATCATTGGACAGCTTAAACTGCAAACCTCTTCCCATACAGACTGTTACTCCTTCAGACAAATCATCTGCACTGCCAACAGTGATCAACTGTCCAGGAGGATCAATCATGCACTCTTCCTTGCCATTCATCCCATCATTATGTTCAGAGTTCAAAAGTGGCGACCCATACATCTTATCCGTAACATCTGCATCACCGTTCATCACCTCACAGGAAAGGGTAGAAGAAGAGGGTGGATCAGTAGAGGGGCTCTGAAGATCTGAAGACATACCTGAATCGTTAGTTACCCACTTCTGCTTCTCTTTTCTTGAACATTGAACTTCAGGAAAATGGCCCTGAGACGGAGGTCTTGTATTGCTCTTCGGCTGTAGGTTAGCAGAGCAGGATGTAGAAGAAAAGTTCGCAACACTGAGAATGACGAAACCCCTTAACAACAGGCTTAACACCAGCCTCGGCAGCAGAGAGATTCATCCATCTCTTTTCCGGCGAGTTCCATATAGTTCCGGGGAGTGAACTGTGCGAAAGACTTCTAACATGAGAGCGAGTTGGGCTAGGCTTTGATTTAATAAAAGAGATGGGCCCCCTTGTAACCCTGGTCTGTTGTCCATTACGCTTGGGCTTTGTCAAAATAGGAGAGCTGGGCTTCTCATTCAGGACTGAAACTGATAGCTGGTTGCTGGGTCCCCAATTAACGGCCCTTTTAATTTTCTGAAAGCTGTTAGTAAGCCCATTAAACAAAAAAGGCCCAGAATGTGCATCAGGCCCATACTAGGCCCATCAGTGACTAAAGCAAGAGTGGCTCCATTAATGCCACGATCTTTGCCATGTGTTTGGTGATTTTGAAAACCGGCAAACCGAAACGGTGGGCGCTGATCAAGGACATGATTAACACGGCTCTTGGAACTGCTTTTTCTACGCGCTTCAGGTGCGTGGGCATGCAATTGGCTAGATCCTTTGAGGCCCTGTCGAACTTGTAAATTCCGGTGACCCCCTTTGGTAATCGTTGCTACACGCGGGAAATAGGATCTCTCCCCACCTTCCTTCATAGTGAGACTTCGGAAGGATACGAGGTGAGACTTCGGAAGGATACGAGGTGTGACTTCCTCAATCAAATTGACCTTAAAGGCCACTCTTTGATCCTCAACAAAGACGTACTCCGGCATCTTTTTTCCGGTGGAAACGTAGAGAAGGATTCTCTCTCCACTCACCGAAACGTCCGCCTCAACACCTCTAAATCCACCACACAGATTTCCAATTGCTTCAAATAGCTTATGGCACCACAAGTGAAAGGGCAAGCCAAATAACATCACCCTCCGTATACTGCGATCCTTCACTGCAGAACATCCAACCGCGAAATACCATATATTGATGGATAACAATGCTTCACCCCATCTCTTCCTTCCTTCATCCAAAACCCTTAAAGCCTCTTGCTCCGACGGAAACCTGAACAGAAAAAGATCGTTGGGAAGGGAAGAAACTTTTATGCCGCTTGAAACCTTCCACTCTTTCGTAGCCCACGCTTCAATCCCTTCAATACATCCCACATCTTTATCAAAACGACCTACTAAACATGACCGCAGAGCAAATTCACGTTCCTTGATGCTTTGATGATCAACCCTAAATACCGAGTCACCGCCTATGGAACAGCTATTGATCTCACCATGGAAGTTGAGACGAGGTAAGGTCGCTACATTGAGATAGGAACGAAGCATGACAAAACTTAGTGGACTGATCTCTTTCCCTTTGTATATTCCTTAAACATTAAATATTATCAATGAAAAGGAAAAGTGGGGTTGAAAGGTTCCTCCTCTTTACTCTTCTTCCTTTTTGGTGATATTGTTTCTATTTTCCCTTATATTACAAGCTTGAAGGATTCCTCATCTTCACTCCTTTTCATTATAATGTATATAGTTATCATAAAGTGTTAAATCTTACATTTGATATTGATTTGATTCATGATATAGAAAAACTGCCATCTACTGAGCTAAATAGTACTATTATTTGTCTCATTTGGGTGAAAGATTGTGATTTCTTGCATCCTGAACAATAAATTTGCAATATAATTTATATTCCTGCCTTTATTCAGCAACCAAATGCAGCATTGGTCCTTCAATTTCTTTTATTGATTTTTTTTTCCCATTATTTTTCTTTTCAATATAACTCAAGTTCCATTTTGGCGCGTGTATCCTTTTCTGATTCTGATATGCCACCTCCAAATGCAGGTTCATATCTGGTGCCTGGAACAGAAATCTATCCTACTTTATGCTTTTGTAAAGAAGTGCAGACTACCGCATATGAAGTTGTGAATGGAAGTTATGTACCTGCTGCCCAAACCAAACAACAAAACAAACAAAAGGTACGTCCTCTTGTAGTAATTACTTCTGAAAATTTTCTGAAGAAAAAGATTTAAATGTTATGATAATTGGTGACTTACTGTGTTCTTTCGATTCCTTTGCTTTTGAGTTAAGAAATATTTACTTACCGATTATTAATATTTGCATTTTAATATTGAATAGTCATGCGCCGCCGTAATCCACGGGTGACTATGTTAAAATTTCAACCCCCCCCCCCCCCCTCCCCCCCCCCTCCCCCCCCCCCCTCTCTCTCTCTCTCTCTCCCTCTCTCTCATTTTAGGAGGAAATTGAAAATTAACGAGTGTGGAAAAGATGATGCTGGCAAGATTCTGGGAGAGGTGGTAAATAAGAGATCATTGTAGGTTAAGAATTTTGAATCTATGGAGGGAAGAGGAATGAGCTGAAGTGATGATTTAGGAGGTTAGTCATTATGGAAGAAACTTGTAGGGCAAGGGTTTCTTAATTAAAGGAGAAAAAAATATTGAGTTATAAGATGATTAGTGCTATTAGAGGCTGCATTATTTAGCATGTCACTGGTAAATGGGGTGTGGACTGAGGAGGAGAAATAAATGGGTTTAAAATGTATTTACATTGCATAGCCTTCTGTTAAATGGCTGAATCTAGTGGGGGTGGAATTCCAGCTAGCTGGATGCTAGAGAGACCTTTCGGAAAGGATGAGTTGGTGTGGGTGTTGAAAGTTTATGTGGATATAAAGCTTGGGGCCTTGATGGTATGACGATAGGTTTTACTGAAATGGTAGGATATAGTGAGGGCAATTACATGTAGGTAGGGCTGCAAATGAACCGAGCCGAGCCGAGCTTTGGATTGCTCGGGCTCGGCTCGTTATCTCCAGAGAGGTGCTCGGGCTCGGCTTGGGCTCGGGTGAGCTTGGATAGGCCGGGCTCGGGCTCGGGCTCGGCTCAGTAGAGTTTCGAAAAGCTCGGGCTCGGTTACAAACACCCTCCAAATTTGTTTGTTTCCCAACTCTGCATAGGGATGTTTTCAGAGAACATATTTATGCAATTAGACCATTTCCCATAACATGCATCTGCTGAAAAATTCAATATACCCAAAGTTGTAGAATTAATTCCAGATTCAAGAAAGGAACTAAACATCGTCTCTTTCATGTGATCGCATCTCAATCTCCAAATAGAAGGAAAAAAAGAAGAAATACAAAAAGAAAGAACAAATTTTGAACATAAAATCAGATCTTACAAGGTTTCCACCATTGCTTCACCTTAAGATCCATTCAAGAGAGATGAGTGGCTTGTGGAGGGCGGCCAGCGGATTATACGTTGGAGTTGATCGAATTAAGGGAGAGAGATGGAGCGAGCTGTATTGTTGTGAGGGCTTCCGGTGGGTTATGCGGTGGAGCTGTGAAGATGATACGGTAGTCTTCTAGCTTTTTAGGGTTTTATTCTTTTTTTTTGATAAGTTTTTTTAGGGTGTTATTCTTATCACTTAAAGAGTACCAAAATCAACGGCTGAGATAGATTAAATGTGATGGTGGGCTACTTACTCTTGGGCCTGATTAATGAAAGTGGGCTGAACTAATATATTGTATGGGCCAAACCTTTAAACATAATAAAATGAAAATACATATGAGCCCATTATAAACGAGCTTGTTCACGAGCCTATACGAGCCGAGCCCAACACTGCTCGGGCTCGGCTTGTTTATTAAACAAGCCTAAAAATTGAGCTCGAGCTCGGCTGGTTTACTTAATGAACGAGCCCGAGCCGAGCCCGAGATGTTCATGAACAGCTTGGTTCATTTGCAACCCTACATGTAGGTGATAGAGAAGTTTGACTTGAGATGTGACTCAGAAGGGTATGAATTTAACAATTACTATTTATATTATTAGGGAAGTAGACCTTTCTCCCCCCTCCCTTCTCTGAGTGGGGGTTGGGAGTTGGGAGAGGGAGGGGGAGCCTGGGGAGGAGTGTGTCCAATATAAATTCTTCTCAAAGTTCGGAAGCGTTGTATGAATTTGCTTTCGGTTTGTCTTATTTAGGTATACTTTTCAACTTGCTTGTTTGCTTTTCAAGTTCATTGCTTTTGCACTCTCTAAATGTTTGTTTATCAGATTTGAATAACTGGAGGAAAGAATTGGATGATTTTTATTTCATTTCCAGGACAAAGCATTGACTACAGTTGAAACTGTTGGTGCTTTTCAAAACCTACCTATGGTGATGCCACCTACTGATATTCTTTACTCGGCACTGAGGAAGGCAAGGAGGGTCTTACCTACAAGGGGTAATGTTTGGGTTGGCATGTTCCAATTCAATATTAGACAACTGAATCAAATTAGATGTCAATTGCATTATAACTTGGTTGAGCCAACTGCAAAATGTGACATTTAATTTGTGCATTTAGGCATTTCCAATATTGCAAAGCGAGAGAGAAATAGAGGCGCAAAGCAACTTGATGCACTGATGAAGGTAACTTAAATATCCATTATGTTAGTTGAGCATAATAAATCTTTTATTCTCTACTTGCTATATGAGTGAACTGCTTGAAGTTGACTTCATGGCTTCATGTTTCCATCTTTAGGAGCTCGCTGTTCCATTAAGGATGTATAAGGAGAGCTTCCCAAACAAAAAGTTTTTGCATCCTTACGAACGGTCTCTTATTGAATTGACTCTTGGAGATGGGAACTATGAAGAGGTAATCATCAACCGTATTGCTGTCCACATGTCATTTATTTAGGGTCCTTGGAACATATAGCAATGGTTCGTTTACCCTTGGAAGGATCCGCTTCTCGTATCCACTGTTAAAGGGATTCATGATATTGCAGTACTAGATTCAGTAAATAATTGTAATAATATATAGGCTATTACAAATTGGAAGTATACATGCTTCATGCTTAGAAAATGAGAAATTGAATTTGTTTCTTCAAGGACTCCTTTTTCTTTGCGCGCAACTGTTGTACTTTACAAATGATCTTTGGATTCACAAAGCATTAATATTTGTCTATTTTCTCTTTATGTCATGACTATGTGTCAAAATCCTTGTACTCTATGCTATAATTTTTATGTAAATTGTGGATTCCCTTATGGTTTGTCAGGTGTTGCGAAAAATTGATGCTTTGAGGAAGAAGGTGACATCGGTTGGAAAGGAACACGCCTCTCTCTGTGCTAAGGTTGTAATGCTTGTTCAATTAGAACTAAAAACTATTGTATCATCAACATGGTGCTCCTGGTCTCTTAACTGGTTAAATATGAATTGATGCAAATAAGCTTTTTTCATATCAGTCTGTAGTTGTTCAGATCTTATAGAAAGATTTCATTCCAGTCTGTAGTTGTTCAGATCTTATAGAAAGATTTCATTCTTCTGATCTTTGTTTACTTTCAAATTCCAGTATCATTTTGTTTTGGCCTCATAGTTATCCCCACATATTTATGTGGTTGCCTATTATCCATTGATAAATCATGGTTTTAGGATACAAGGTTGGTAGGGGGTCACTTGGTTTTGTGCTCTTTCTTAATTTGCACTAATCCACATCTTTCGAGGAGATGTAAATGGTATTCACCTGACCAGTTATTAAGTGACAAATGAATTTTGACATTTTCTATTGAAATGGAAGTGCCATTGTCAAAAACAAAATTTTTCAGTTGGGAGATGCACCTTTGTCCTTGTGAAGCTCTCTTCCAAGGGCTCACAGAACTTCTCCATCATACTCGGTTCTTTGTTGGAGAAGGATTGAAAGTTCACTATTAGGAGAATTTTGGGATTCGGGGGAAAACCTCTTAAAGTGTCATTTTCCTCAGTTTTTAATGTGTTTAGATCTAAGGGAGCTGATGGTACCAATCTCACGGATAAATCAACACAATCAATCTTTTGGAACGCTGATTTTCAGAAAACCTCAACATCCATGAGCTTAATTCTCCCTCAACCTTTAATTTTCAAGTTTCTCCTCCTCTTGGAGAATGATGTTAGTTATTTATTTATTTATTTATTTTTATTTATTTATTTATTGTAGTGACTTCTTTTCCTAGTGTTGCTACAATTTCTGCTTTAGTTCCATCATTCTCTCTAGCTCACTGGCTTGTAAGTGAAGGTTGCCCCTCATGATAAGGTCTTAGTTTAGTTAGTGTCTTGTAGGATGGTCAATAATAATGAGATATATCATACCATGTGGTGGAGTGGTTCATTACATATTCCAACCAAGAAACTCTGATTCCGGATGGGTAGCCTTGTATTTACTTTGATTTAGAACCAGAAAGAAAGAAGGGGAGGAAAATGAGAAGATGAGATGCGAGTAGAAGAAAGGGGTGAAGAGACAGATGAAGGGGGTGAGAAATTAGAGTGAATAGGTTGAATGGACAGAGGGATTGAGGAATGCAAGAACACCGAGGGAGAAGAAGACACAGGAGAGTTCTCAAACTCACAATATTATTCAATACTCAAAAACTAAATTGTCTGTTTACATAGGAGCCTTTATATAGGCAAATTAGTAAACAAACCCTAAAAACCCTAAAACATAAAAATGCCAAAATAACCTTAAAATTCAAACATTACCAAAAATAACAATAAGCATAAATAAAAACCCTAATTTACTAAAATTCCTAATTTTATTTCTCTTTTTTATCTTCTCCAAAAGTAACGCTGAAGCATTTGCAACTCATGTGTGCGAATCTTATCTCGTTCCCAATCAAGCTCTTTTGGAATCCCTAGACAAATATATTTGCTGTGGCTTGTGAGTTCAATGATCATACTATTCAACGTTTGCTCATTTCACTGATCTTGCATGCAATTAGCCATGGCAATAACTCTTTAGTATTGGGGCTGCAAGTTAGATGGCTTGACCTGAATTCAATCCTGTATTTGGACGGGATTCAGCAGTTCTTTTTGTTTTTCAGGTTGTGCTTGGGTTGGAATTTCAACCCGACTTCAATCCAGGTTGAGTATGTGGCAGAGTTGTCAGGCAACCTGATCCCAGCTTGAAGTCTTGAATCCGGTTTTTTTAGTTTATTTTGGTTGTTAGTGTTATTATTAAAATATTAATAACTAGAGCCTAACCTGACCGACCAGAGCCTAACCTGAACTTAACCAGAGCTCAGGAAGGTCAGGGCTCGACTTATTAAGTTGGAGCTTACGCTTGATCAAGCTTGGGCTTTGTCTATTCCCTGAGTTTAGCTTGGGTTCCCTCAACCTGTTCAGCCCACCTGAGTTGCATGCCTATGTGAAATAGCTGATTAGCTGGGATAAGTTGGGTGGTCCCTTTGATGTCAAATCTGGGTTGATTTTTTTGCTTGTGCTATTGGCATTGGGAATAAAATAAGAATTTGGTCTTGTGGAATCCTTTATGCAACTTGTCTCATTTGGAAGAAAGGAATAGAAAAGGTTTTGTGGATATATATGACCTGTTGAGGAGGCTGGGCACAAGGTGGAGTTTTTTTTAGCTCTCTTCAAGTTTAGACGATAATAGCTTGAAGGCACTTCTTTGGGGTTATTCTATCAGATTGGAGTTGGGTAGTTGCTTGTAGGCCTCATTCATTAGTGATCAGTAGTGTGGAGGCTGCTTCCAAATCTCCAATTAATAGAATCATACAAGTAAAGTTTTAACATTGTTGCTCATTCTATAGGAAATTCGGGCCGAGTTGGTAGGCAATGATTTTTTTTTGTTTTATCTAAGATTTGTTGATGCATAGTCCAGCTTCATTGGAAGGTTTTCAGGATTTTACATAGATTCTTAGTTTGGCCATTGAGAAGGTTGATCACTTGGCTACAAAGGAAGCCAGAACTATGGAATCTTATAAAGAAAGTTTCCTTCTTTCCATGTCTTATTAGGTTTACTTTGCATAGTTGTTTGTTTGTCTGTTTTGTTCCTTCTATTTCCTGAGAATGGGTTTTCTTCATTTGCTTCTCTTCTTTTTGTTAATGGAAATTTTTCTCCTGTATGTTCCAAGTTTCCAACTACTCTTTTTTTTTTTTTTTTTGGTACTGAAAAATTGTCTTTTCATTTTTGAATGGCCCTTTTTGTTTTTCCCTTTTTTCTTAACTTGCTTGAAGGCTGAATAGTGATTACTTTTTTTTTTTTTTCCCCTATTTCAATTGCTTTCTAAAATGCTTTGAGTTGAGTATGGTAATGGTTAATTGATATTCATATAAATTTTGTAGTCTTCAACGAAGCGAGAAGCAGAAGAACGATTGAATGAGGTCAGTTATATTCCTGTTCGTTCAACCCACCATCCAAGTCCATTTATATCTGAAAATTTTATGTGCTATGATATTCTGTAGGGAATGAAGAAACTTGAAGAGATTTTTCATCATGAAGGAAAAGCTGTCAATGATTTGCTGAACATTGCCAAGGTGATATGCCATTTGGAACACTTAACTTTTTGTTAGGAAACAAACTAAAGGGCACCACTTTCAAGTTCCCATCTTTTGTTCTTTTAAATTTTTTACCAATTCAAAGATGGTACGATCTACTTCTTTGTTGTTGTTGACAACTAACGTCTTGTGTTACTGATGAGTGCGTTCTCTTGCTTGCCGTCGACACACTATGAAGTGGGGGGGCTAGGGTTTTGTTTTGTAAGAGAATGAAATTGATAGCTAGGGTTATAGTTATATTTACACTAATTTATAAAGCCCAACCAAAACCCAAATAGTTCCTTTTCATTCAAAAGCCTAATAGTTATATATATATATATATAAAACTATAACCCTAGCCATTAATTTCACCCTCTTACAAAACTATATATATATATATTTATATGAGAACTATATATATATATATATATATATATATGGTGCGTTTGATTATGGTAATGGGCTTGAGCTATTGGGCTTTTGAATGAAATTAAACTATTTAAGTTTGGGTTGGGCTTTATGGGTGTAAATATATGGGTTGGGTTGGGCTTTATAAATTAGTCTTAGTGGATTAAATGGTTAATGGACCTTTTGTATGTTAGGTGTAACATATATAAATATATCTTTATATATTATTATTATTATTAAATATATATATATATATATATATATATATATATTCACAAGCTCAAAACAAACCCTTAAATGATTATGTTCAGAGACATGTTCTTGTTTAAATTATATATATAGTCTGAATAAAATTTTAAAAAAATTAGCGAGTCATAGTTCCCAAAGTGGACATCTATTTTGGGACGGAGGGAGTGTGTTTTTTTTAGAGAGAGAGTAAAGAGAAATTGGTCAATGAGACATGATGATTATTTTAAGAAAAATGGTACATCCTCCAAATTCGGAGGATGCCGACAGAGTGTGTGAGTGGGGTTTATGGGCCCCACCACATGATTTCACCCTGACATCATGTGGTGGGGCCCGCAACTCCACTTGCATGTTCTCTATTCGGCTTCCGCCGAATTCGGAGGATGTGTCACTGCCCTTATCTTAATCAAACCCGGTAGAAAAAGTTAAAAAGAGATTCAATACTTGTTATTCACAATCCTGGAAAGGTCAATTCAGGTGCCTTTTCAAATTCAGCATTATATTAATTTAATGGATAAACACAAATGAACATATAATCTCTTGGTATGCTAAATAAATGTCATGATTCACATTGTAAGAAGGTGAAATTGATGGTTAGGGCTATAGTAATAACTATTATAACTATAACCTTAGCCATCAACTTCATCTAAATATAACCCTATTCATCAACTTCATATAACTATAACCCTAGCCATCAACTTCACCCCCTTAGAAAACTATATATATATATATATATATGTATGTATGTATGTTGGGTTTGATTATGGTAATGGGCTTGAGCTATTGGGCTTTTGAATGAAATGGAACTATTTGGGGTTGGGTTGGGCTTTATAAATGAGTGTAAATATATGGGTTGGGTTGGGCTTTATAAATTAGTCTTAGTGTATTAAATGGTTAATGGATCTTTTATATGTTAGATATTATATATATATATATATATATATATATATATATATATATTCACAAGCTCAAAACAAGCCTGTTAATGATCATGTTCACGAACATTTTCCTGTTTAAATTATATATATAGTCTAAATAAAAATTTAAAGAAATTATGTGTTTGAGAATATACTAGCATAAAGCAGTAATTGAACCATCTAAATCTTGATTATTTCCCCTACACGGGTGAGTACGTCAAGGATCTACGATCTTAAGTTGAAATCATGTTTGTGTGGTACTATAATGCATCTCCTCCAGCTGCTTTAAAAAATATCTTATGTTTTTTAGTACATCAATACCATCTTGATTGTCTGTTAGAATTTTATTTTTTATTTTTATTTTTTAGTGTTCTACATACTGGTTTTTCTGCTCATTTGAAATGTGATTTTCAGGGATTTGTGGACTTGAGTTGAAGGTAGTGTCAGTGTTGTTAAAGGCATGCCTAGGCTCGCGCCTAAGCTCGAGGCTCAGGTTTAGCGCCTGTTGTCATTCCAGGCTCGCTGATGTTTACTTGGCGCGCGCCTCGGTTACACCTCGTCCTGTTTGTGAGGCGCGCCTCACCGATATTTGTTTAAAAAAAATACGATTGTTCTATTTCTTAAGCCAAAAAGGGTACTTTTGGCAACTTAATAAACAAAAAAGAAAGCCCAAACATATGATAGAAGGAACTTTTGTACAAAAGAATAAAAAAATAAGAAAGCTCAAGAGTCAAAGTGTTAACCGAACAGCGATAGAATGAGATTGTGAGACGAAGACGAAACCCTAGTTGTAGAGATGAACAACGAAGCCACGTCAATTCTTTCTTTTCTTTTTCTTTTTTCTCTCTTCTCCTCTAGATCTCCCCTCTCTTCTTATGTTTGTTTACATCTCTCTCTTCTTCTAGTTCTCCTCTCTGTCTTTTTTTTTTTGGCTCTGATTTTTTTTTTTTTTTTGTTAACATATTTATTTATTTCTTTTTGTGCTTTGTTTTGCCATTCAAAAAAACACATTTTGCTTTGCCTTTCAAGAAAACAAAATTGTGCTCTGTTTTATGGTTGTTGGATGCTTGTATAGTTGATGGATTTACTTTTTTATATTTGATATTAATTTTTAGAATATTGATATTACTTATACGATATGAATGTTATTATGGTAGTTTAAATTTTCAATTGTGTGCCTCACTTCACTTAGGTGAGCACCGCGCCGTGTGCCTCGCGCCTAGGCTCCAAAGGACATCTAGCGCCTTGGTGCGCCTTGGGCCTTTAATAACACTGGGTAGTGTAAGATTTATCTTGTGTTTCTAATCTAGTATATCAATGCTGCGTTGATTTCTCACTTGTGTTTCTAATATAGTATATCAATGCTGTGTTGATTTCTCACTTGTTCACACTTTGTGCATTAATGCCATTTACTACCCATTGCTTCCCATTTGTCCTATATGTTATCTTTACATTTTTAGCTTTTTCGTACTGTGTTTGATATTTTCCGAGCTTAAGGGCCCCTTTTGGATTGAGTGAGTTTTGAATGGAAAGAAAGGAAAAGGTGGAAAAGGTTTTTATCATGCTTGTTATATAATAAAGGAAAAGGTGGAAAGGTTGTATCACGCTTGTTTTATCGCCCTTTTGGAGCATTTTGTATTTGTATCTTATAACAACTGAATTCGTATTTTCCCTTTCTACTTGTATAATAAAACATTCCTTTCTTCTTTTGGGTACTTTTTTTTATTTTCCCCCAAACAATATAAGGAGGTATACTGTCCATTTCTTTTCATTCCTTACTTATCGAAACAAGATAGGGGGTAACACATTTTTTCTTTCTTTCCTTTTCTCTATCCTTCACTCTCCATGCCCTCCTACTTATCCAAATGTGCCATAAAGTGTGTTTGTGTGTGTGTCTGTTTTTTTTTTTTTGGTTTACGATAACTACATTGGTGATATTAATATTATCTAAAAGTTCCATCAGAATATATGCTTTTCTCTATATTTGAAACTAAATTCATATTTGCAGACTTTGCGTGCTATGCCAGTTGTTGACTTAGAAACACCGACACTCTGCCTTGTTGGAGCTCCTAATGTGGGGAAGTCATCTTTGGTCCGTATACTCTCAACAGGGAAGCCTGAGGTATGGACACGTCTATTAATGATTATTATGTGTTCTTAATGGTTTCAGTTATATATTCCTTAGAGCTAATGCAGTTGAGGAATTAATTGACCAAGCTAATTAAAGTCCTCTCTTGCTTGAGTTAGAACTGTTAATCTTGCTAATTTTAGTTATGAAAAGTCTCTGGTGTTGATATCAGACTCAGCTTTGAAATGTTTCTTCACTTTCTTTTTCTCATGAGAGCAGGTTTCAATTTAGATTTTCTTGGTATTGATTTGTCCCTCTGCATTGAACACAAAGCTAGTGAATAAAATTTCCAAAAGGATGTCATTCAGTACATTTATTATTATTATTATTACTTTTTGATAAATAAAAAGATTTATACAATCAGTCTTTTGCAAAATAGGTATAAAACTAATGTAAAATTGTCAAAATTTATACAATTTAATCACAATTAACAACTATTTAGGCAATCATTAAAAATATCCTAATGACTAACTAGAGCATTTATTAAAAATGTCCACCATTTGTTTTCATCCATGATGATCGGTTCTGTTATAAGGTGGCTGTTTGGGAGGAGAAGCACCCCGAGCTTGTTCCGACGACGGATAGCTTGGAAGGAGGGGATGGTTCGCACTTGCTTAACGAAAAAGAATGGTTGAGGTGGGAATCCACGGGGAAGAAGGGAATGGCTGAGTTCCAGAGATGGAAGGAACGGAGGGATGCGTTGTGGATCCGTAATGAGTGTTTTAGAAGGCTCTTTACTTAGAAACGTAGGGATGGGCTTTCTTCAGGGTTGAACCGTCGCCGACAAGAAGGTCTTCGGCAGATGCAGTGGAATGGAGGCTTCACCAGGACTGGTTGTCGGCCTTTTTTGCAGCGGTGGGATCAGAAAAGGTTTCGTGGTGGTGTCCACGCGCAGCAAGTGCGTGGGTGGGGGAGGATTGTAGACCATCCACGTGGTTGGCTTCCAGGCATTGTCCGTTCACAGTGGAAACCAACTGTTTCCACGATGATTTCAAATTCTGCTGAGTCTGCTTCTTCAGTTTCTTGGGCTGGAAAGGCTCCGAAGCCCACACGCGATGATGGGCCTGGCACTGGGCCGGGGAATGGGGCTTTAGTTGCTTGTGAGGCTTGCCCATCTTCTGGTGGGCCTCTTGAGGGGCCTCCGGTTGTTGGAAGGCCCGTTGGCGGTTTGATGCTGGATGGAGGGCCGGCAACCCATTCCTTTAATGATGGTTCGGATGGTGGGCCGGTTGCCCATTCAGTTAAAGATGGTTCGGGTTGTGGGCCTTCTGGGTTGAAAAGGGGGCCGGTTGGTGGGTTTTCTTGCTCTGGGCCTGTTTTAAATAACGGATTTGGGCCATTGTCTTCCTCTTTTGTTGGCAGAGACTTGCCTATTTCTGGAAGATTCAAGGATGATCGGCGATCAAAGGAGCTGATACAGTGACGACGTTTGCCCAAGAAAAAGATTTTCTTGCTGCTTTTCGCAAACGGTGGACACGGTAGGATAAACAGAAATGGGTGGCGTCTATGCAGTTGGGTTTTGATCCAGGTAAGTCCACTATCGTTTATGGGGCATCTCCTCCCCATTACTTCTCTCCTTTTGCATCTTCTCCTTCTCAGGGGGGTTGAGAAAGTCTTTGGGGTTGGCGAAGGGTGGGGCTGTCACTGGTTGTTCTCCCTCGGTTCTAGAGGTGGAGAGGGATTTGGAGTTAGAAGGAAAACATGATGGGGGCTTGGTTTATAAGTTGGGTTTCTCTCGGCTGTGTGAGAATAATTGTAAGGGGGTTATGGTTTGTGTGGGACATGATGTGAAGGTGAGAATTGATGATGATACAGCTAATGTTTTGTTGAAAGAGATTAGGGATCATTTGATGTTGAAAGGTTTTCAGTATGATGCTAGGGGTGTGATGTCTGATGAGGAGATTGAAACGCGTCTTTGTTCGCAATCCTCTTCTGCCCTTAATGATTGGGAGGGAGCTGCAAGTTCTTCCATGGGAAGACTTAGAGCAGGCTGTGAATTTGACATTTCCGTTGGCTGTTGTTCCTCCGGAGGGGGAATGGGTGAGTGGCCAGACTGATGTTGAGGAGGTGTGGGTGAGGGAGAAAGGTATGGATGTGGGTTCTCTTTTGGGAGTGTCTTTCGAGGGTAGGGAGGCTGAGGCGAGGAGTTTGTTCACTGATGTTCTCAATTCTCATCTCAGGGAAAGGGTGGGTGGTAGGGAAGGGGTGGAGGAGGAGGTGGAGGAGGTGGTAAGGGATCCAGGGAGAGAGATAGTGGAAGGAGGGGTGGGTTTGCTTCTTCAGCTCCTATGAAGCTACGAATTATTTCATGGAATGTTTGGGGTCTCAATAACCCAGTTAGAAGAAAAGTGGTGAAGTCGGTTATTCATAAAAGGGGAGGTCATGTGGTGTTTACAGGAAACTAAGCTCGCATCGATGTCAGATAGGATGGTGCGAAGCCTATAGGGAGGGAGATTTGTGGAATGGATGGCTTTGGATGCTGTTGGCTCTTCGAGGGGCATCCTGATCATGTGGGATAACAGATGGGTGTCTTTGGTGGACTCTCAGGTTGGGAGTTTCTTTGTTTCGTGTGTTCTCTCTCTGTTGGAGGATGGTGTTCATTGGGTTTTCACTGGTGTTTACGGTCCTACGAAGGTCAGTGAGCGCCATTTGCTTTGGGTGGAGTTGGGGGAGGTTAGACGTCGTTGGGTTCTGCAATGGTGTGTTGGAGGGGATTTTAATGTTGTTCGCTCTCCGTTTGAGAGGTCTACGGGGGGTAGGTGGACGTCTGACATGGAGTAGTTTTTGGAGTTTATTGATGAGTTTGGGTTGGGTGGATTTGCCTTTGGAAGGAGGGCCGTTTACTTGGTCTAGTGGCAGATCTCCCTTACTCTTTCTCGGCTTGACAGATTTCTTGTGTCGGGGAGTGGGAGGAAAGATTTTCTGATTCTCTGACCATGTTCCGTTGATGTTGGATTGTGGTGGGTTGCGTAGCAGATGTTCTCCGTTCAGATTCGAAAATATGTGGCTTCGGGCTGAGGGTTTTTTGGAAAGGGTCCGCCTTTGGTGGGAGGGGTTTGGGGTGGTTGGCGCCCCAAGTCATGTGCTTGCAGGCAGTTTGCGTCTTTTAAAAGGGAATCTTAAGATTTGGAATAAAGAGGTTTTCGGGAATCTGGAATGGAGGAAAATTTGGATTCTTGCTGAGATTGCTGATATTGACCGGATGGAAGGCCAAGAGGACTTGGTGGACTCTCTGAAGGTTAGAAGGGTGTAGTGCCAGGTGGATTTTGCTGAGATTGCAGTCATGGAGGAGATCTCGTGGAGACAGAAGTCTAGAGCTTTGTGGCTTAAGAAGGGGGACAAAAACACAAAAAAAATTCACAGATTGGCCAATACTCATAGAAGGGGCAATCATATTGTGAGAATTCGGGTGGAGGGAGAGATTCTATGCAAGGAGGATAAGGTCTACAAGGGCTTTACTGAGTTCTTTGAGAAGTTGTTCACAGAATCTGTTTGGGGAGAGGGGGGGGGGGGGGGGGGGGGGGTGGTGTTGGATGTTAGAGATTTTCGTCCTATCAGTTTGGTGGCCCTATCAGTTTGGTGGGGTGTTTCTACAAGTTGTTGGCAAAGGTTCTTGCTTCTCGACTGAGGAAAGTGTTGAATGGCATTATTTCGGATTTTCAGAATGCTTTTGTGGGAGGCCATCAGATTTTGGACTGAGTCCTTATTGCCAGTGAGTGTGTGGATTCCAGGCTGTGTAGTGGGATCCCGGGAGTTCTGTGTAAGCTTGACATTTTTTTTTTTGATAAGTCTGTGTAAGCTTGACATTGAGAAGGCTTATGACCATGTGAGTTGGAGCTTCCTTATTTACCTGATGGAGAGGATGGGATTTGGTGATAGGTGGAGGAGATGGATTTACTTTTGCATTTTTAGTGCTTGTTTTTCGATTATTGTGAATGAGCTCCTTTCGGTTTTTTCTCTAGCTCGAGGGGCTTAAGATAGGGGGATCCGCTCTCTCCCTTCTTGTTTTTGTTTGTGATGGAGGCCCTTAGTAGATTGTTGAGAAGGGTGATTGAGTTGGGCTTTTTGAAAGGCTTTCGGGTGGGAAAGGATGTTGTTTCCTAGTTGGAGATCTCACATTTGATGTTTGCTGATGACACTTTAGTTCTTTGTGATGCGAACGTGTCCCAGTTTAGATTTCTGAGATGCGTTCTGATTTGGTTCTAAGTTGTCTCTGGCCTTAAGGTGAATGTCGGAGGGAGCGTTTTGGTGCCGGTGGGGGAAGTCCTTGAGTTAGAGGCTTTTGCTGACATTCCTGGTTGCCGTACGGACTCCTTTCCCATCTCTTACCTTGGGTTGCCTCTAGGAGCTCCTTCGAGGTGTGTGGGGGTTTGGGACCCAGTGGTGGATAGGTTTGAGAGGAGGTTGGCGGGCTGGAAGAAGCAGTATCTCTCCAAGGGAGGCTGGATCACTCTGATCAAGAGCACCATATCATGCCTAACCACTTATTTTATCTCTCTTTTTCAGATTCCCTCTTCAATTGCGGAGAGGATTGAGAGGTTGCAGCGAAATTTTCTGTTAGGGGGTAGAGGAGAAGAGTTCAAGTTTCATCTTGTTCGTTGGGAGCAGGTTTGTAAGCTGATTCGGATTGGAGGTTTGGGTCTTCGTAGACTGATGCCTTTCAATAAGGCCCTCCTTGGGAAATGGTTGTGGAGGTTTGGTGTGGAGAGACACTGGCTTTGGAGGCGGGTCGTGGCAGTCAATTTGGGGAGTTGAGAGGTGGCTGGAGCTCTTTGGAAGTGAGGGGGTCTTCGCGGGGGGGGGGGGGGGGGGGGGGGTGTTAGGAATTTTATTAGGAAGGGGTGGGATCTCTTTTCCAAACATGTTCGGTTTCGACTCAGGGATGGGAGGAGGATTAGTTTTTGGGAGGATGTTTGGTGTGGGGATGTTCCTCTTGCTCTTGCTTTTCCTCAGCTTTTCAAGATTGCTTTGGATAGGCAGGCCTTGGTGGTCAACTGTTATCATCTTGATAGTGGTAGGTTGGTTTAGGATGTTCGATTCAAGCGCTTGTTTCGGGACTAGGAGATTAAGGAGGCCATTCGTTTCTTAGAGTTACTGTATCGACAGAGGATTGTGGTTGAGGAGTCTGATAGTTGGACTTGGGCTGCCAACTCTCAAGGGCGTTTTGAGGTGAGATCTTTCTTTAGGTGTCTCTCGGATGATTTTAGAGTTTGCTTTCCTTGGAAGTCTGTTTGACGCTCTAAGGCTCTTCTCAAGGTGGCTTTCTTTGCGTGGACCTCGGTTCTGGGAAGGATCTTAATCCAAGATAACTTGAGAAGGAGAAACCAGGTGGTGGTTAATCGTTGCTATATGTGTCTTCGAGATGAGGAAACAGTGGATCACCTTTTCCTTCATTGTACCGTGGCTCGAGATTGCTGGGTCTTGATGATTGGCTTGTTTGGGATTCTCTGGGTTATGCCGGGAACTACTAGAGGGTTTATTGAGGCTGGGAGAGGTTGCCATGTGGGGGCCCATATTCAGGATGCTTGGAGTGCTACGCCTCTCTGTGTGTGGTGCTGTTTATGGCTTGAGAGGAATATGAGATACTTTGAGGGGAAGGAGATGTCGAATTCTATGCTTAAGTTTTCTATTCTTTCTACTCTTTTTTGTTGGATTTCAGGGAGAGATCATAGATCTTAAGAGGTGATTGTCGATTTTCTAGCCTCTCTTAAGGCTTAGTGGCCCTTTGTGAGCTTTTGTATTTATTTTGGGTTCCGCTCCCCTTCTGAGCTCTTTTATATCATTTTACTTATCAAAAAAAAAGAAAAGATACTTGTAGGATGATGCTCATAAGTTTTTTGATCAAAAATTCCAATCCTGATATATTGGATTTAATTTTGAACAGCCAATTTGATTGTGCACAATTAGCTATTGTATTTGTGCTAACTGTTCTTATTTTTCTTTTCCCCGCATAGATCTGCAACTACCCTTTTACAACTAGAGGAATCCTAATGGGCCATATTGCTTTAACCTACCAGAATTTTCAGGTCAATCTCCTTATGTAAGATGTGGATTTTGTTTTTCTGTGTAACTTTGTTTACACCTAGAAGTATACTGCAGGTAACAGACACACCTGGTCTACTGAAGAGACACGATGGTAAGGTTTTTGCAGTTTTCTTTTCCCCTTCCAATTTATGAAATATATATGTGGCATATTATCTGGGATCATTTCTTTCCCCTGGCATTGGTATGCTCAGTGACGGACCCAGAAAATTATGTGAGGGATAAGCAAAAGAAGTTTAATGTTCATTGATAATTCCATCGAGTACATTTACAATTGTCCTCGATGACTTTTTATATTTTGAAAACGTCGTATGATAGCTTCATTTTCTATGCACATTTTAGGGTATTCAGTGATCATGTCCAATGATCTATTTCTATGTTTTTTATATGTATAAAAATATAAAAAGTGGTATGCTGAAAACTAATCAGTTGATCAGTTTGGTTTCCTGTGATCAATTCCTACTTTATTAGCATACCACTCTGTTGAAAAATAGGCATGGTCAAAGCATAAACTGCACAAAACAAATCTAACTATTACCCATGAACGAGCTATACATTCAACCTGAGTTAAACACAAAACAGCATAATTATGCGCCTGTGCATTGTGCACAAGGAAAGTAGCAACTAACTAATAACTATCACCCAAAACAGCATAATTGTGCTTTGTAAGCCTGTGCATTGTAACCGGGGGGAAAAAAAATCAGAAATTAAATATTCAGAAATTGCATATTCTATACTATTAGAAAAAAATTCAAAGAAAGCAAGCCATAAGAAGCAGAAAAAACAAGAATAAGTAGATTGAGTTGGTGTTCCATGTGCTTAGGAACTGATTTCCACCTAGAGGTTTTTCAAAAACACTTCCAATTGATCAGATAGGTGTGAATAACAAAATAAATAAATAAACAAATTTATGAGAAATTTCAATATTTAATTTGACTTAAATAAAACTTGATTGCAAAATTTTGAACCCTAATGAGTGAAAAGAGTGTACCTGTGGCCTTAATCTTACACCTTCAATGTTGAAGAGAAATGTTGAAAAATTGTTTGTTACAAGCTTTAGAGAGAACTTGAAGTAGTTGCAGAGCCAAAGATTGTGAAAACTAGGGTTTTGTTCACCAACTACTGAAATTGAAAACTATGGTTCTTGGTGAATGGCAAGTGTGTTTGTCGTGTGAGAGAAAGACTGGTGGATGGCCGGAAGGGAGGGGGCTGGTGCTGGTCGGTAATGGGAAGAAAAACCGCAGAAGGCCAGAAGCCGTGAGGAGTGTGTCTGCGCGAGGTTTTTTCTTGAGATAAAAAATGATAAGGGGGCCAAAGTCATATAGTGGGGATTTCCTGTAATTTCAGTGGGGGATTTTTATGGGGCATATAATGGAAAAAATTTCAGTGGGGCACCCCCACTGAGCGCCACTATAGGTGCGTGCCTGGGTATGCTACCATCTCTTTTGATCCCTCTCAATCAAGGTCTGTTACTGGGTGGATATATTTCATTTCACAACCAAAAATGAATCAGTTGACTTGTAACTTTGACAGGTTGATAACTATGAATCAAAACTGCTCATACTTATGTGGGGATATGGTTAGTGTTTGAGTAATTTTCTACTTTGAGGAAGTTGACAGCCCATGGTGACTTCTTCTAGTTTCTAATATATATATATAATATTTTTGGTTGTTATAGCAGTAAAAATAATTCATATTGAGTCAACTTGGTCCATTATGAGTTGAGTAATAGTTTATAGTTTATACTGGAAGGGATTCCTTAGAAGCCCAATTCTTGGCATCATGATGAGTAATAGTTACTTATTTGTACATCGAGCCAGTTGCGTGGTACTGAGATGCGATATCACTGATCCCACAGGAGATGACCTAGATGAAGATCTTCTATGCCGTCCTAACACTTTTAATATGCTCACATTGTCTTCTATAAATTTTATGTGGCAAATATGAAATCTGGGACAAATGGATGATTATTATATGGGCCCGGTAACCTTTTTTCCCCCTAAATTGGGCCCAATAACTTTTCTTATTGAGAAAACTTATTTAGCGCTGTTTTTGTTTGGGAGGGGGGGTTGGGGGGTAGAACTATACTTGTGGCGCATTATTCAAATAGTATGTCATTATTCGCAACAAATTACAGTAAACATTAAGGGTGCGTTTAGTAACGTTTTCGTTTTATGTTTTTGAACTATACTTGTGGCGCATTATTCAAATAGTATGTCATTATTCGCAACAAATTACAGTAAACATTAAGGGTGCGTTTAGTAACGTTTTCATTTTATGTTTTTTTAGTCTTAAGAAAGTAGAAACATGATTTTGCTTTCTTGAGTGAAAATAGAAAACAGAAATGAAATTTATTAATACTTCTTGTTGCCACAAATTTGAAAACATAAACAATAATTGTGTTTAGTAATACAACATATTTGTTACAAAATGTACATAATATTCTTTAAATTTTTTATTTTTTTCATGGCAAGAATTTTTGGAGTTAGTGATTAGAGAGGAGGGTGAGGGGGAGGGTAAATGACTTGAACACGAACTTTCGGACACAGGAAGTAACCCAATCACTCAGGCACGACACTTGCTTCCATTAATATCAAAAAGCCATAAATTTAGAAAATCTAATTTAAAATTATAAATCTTAAAAATACCCAATACGTCATAAGTACAAAATTAGATATACCAAGGCAAAAACATTCCCACCAATTATGTATATAAATACATGTATATGCATGATGTATACATTTATTATGTGATATATAATATATTTAGTATATGAAATTTTATTATGAATAAAATATATATTGTGTTATAATATTGTAAATTAATTATAATTTAATATTTACATATAATATAATATAGATATGATATAAAATAATATAAAATATCTACTGCTTAATAATTTAATAACATTATATTTTATTTCAAAAATTATTTTGTCACAAAAAATAATTTACATTATTATTTAATATATTTTTATCAAATAAAAAATAATATACAATATTTAATATATTCTATATTAAAAATATATATTTTTATTAACATTTAATATGCAACTTAGTATATAACACAAATAATATGAATTTTATTTGAACTGAATAGTGCATGTACAGTAACATTAGTGAAAACTGAAAACGCTTCTGCGCTACAGTGTCGAAAACATAAAAAACATCATTTTGATGTTTCCTCTTTTCTTCACAAAAATTGAAAACGTTTTCTGTTATAGAAAAACAAAAATATTTTATTGAACGCGATTTTTGTTTTTGTTTTGCCTTTTTAGAAGTTGACAACAGAAAACAAGAAACGTTTCTCGTTACTAAACGCAACCTAAGTTCATAGAACTTGCAGTAAAAAAAAAAAAAAAAAAAAAAAAGAGAAAAGAAAAAGGAATTAGAGGAGAGAAAAAGAAAAAGAGGTTTCAGCGCATACATCGTACATGAGTGCAAAAAGAAGAATTTTTAAAAGAGAAATAAACAAAAAAATAAAAGAAAAATGAGAGAACTTTGAAGGGAGCAGGTCTGCAGGCCATTTCAGTTGGGCGGGCTTGGGATTAGGGGATTGGCTTCGTTTAACAGTGCTCTCCTTAGTAAGTGGCTTTGGAGATTTGGCAGTGAAAGATATAGATTATGGAGAAGGGTTATTTCTTGTTGTTTTGGGGAGGAGAGGGGGTTGGTCAGCTAGGCCAGTCAGGTATGCTAGCGGAGTAGGGGTGTGGAGGGCCATTGGAAAAGGATGGGACGAGTTTTCCAAACATGTTAGATTTAGAGTTTGGGATGGAAGATTTGTCTGGTTTTGGGAGGATCCTTGGTGCGAGGATAGGCCTTTGGCTCTTTTGTTTCCAAGGCTGTACAGGATTGCTGTTGACAAACATGCTATGGTTGCCAATTGCTATCGTCTTGATAGCGGGAGGTTATCTTGGGATGTGCGATTCCGGCGATCTTTTCAGGATTGGGAGTTGGATGATGTCATTGGCTTGTTGGCTCTCTTGTACAGACAGGAGGTGGAGGGCACTGGTGTTGACTCCCTGATTTGGGTGCCTTCCTCTCAGGGGATGTTCCAGGTCCGGTCTTTTTTTGTGTGCCTCTCTGGTTTTTAGGCGTTTCCTTCCCGTGGAAGACGGTGTGGTTGTCCAAGGCACCTCTTAGGGTGGCTTTTTTTGTGTAGACTGCAGCTTGGAGTAAGATTTTGACTTTGAATAACTTGAGGAAGCGAAGACATATTATTGTTAATCGATGTTGTTTTTGTAAATTGAATGGGGAGTCAGTGGATCATCTTCTGCTGCATTGTCTTGTGGCTCATGATTGTTGGAGTCTCATTTTTGATCTGTTTGGTATTCATTGGGTCATGCCTCGGACATCTCGGGGCTTGCTGGATATCTGGAGGGGCCAATGGGTGGGGGCTCAAGCGAGAGTCTTCTGGAGGGTAACCCCTTTTTGTGTTTGGTGGAGCATTTGGAAAGAGCGGAATAGAAGATCTTTTGATGGGAAGGAATCCTCCATTGGGGTGTTGAAATTTTCTATTATTTGTACTCTTTTTTATTGGGGATGGGGGAGAGATTTTTCCTCTATTGAGGACCTTGTGGACTTTTTGGGTTCCTTGAGATCATAGGTTCTATTTTTGTATAGCTTGGGACGCGTTCCCCTTTTGAACGCCTTTTAATTCATTTTACTTATCAAAAAAAAAAACTAGTGTTTGATTGAAGAAGGGGAATGTAATTTTTCAAGGGAATCAATGGAATTTGAAGAGTAAAAGAGAAAAGAAAGAAAAAGATTAGAGATATTTTTAGAAAGTGAAATTTTTTAGTGGAGCATTTTGTAAAATTTCACAAATATATGTACATAAAAGTAAGAAAAAAATGGCGGGGCCAGGCCAGGGGGGCAGCTGCTCCCCCCGAGCCTATGCCGACTCTGTCCCTGCAAGTTGGAAGTCTTAAAAATCTGAGAGCGCAGATTGTAAGATTTGGATCCACAAGTTATGAGTGTATTCTCTCTAAGTCCATTGATTCACACGCGGAATGTGAGAGTGGCAGCCATTACGTGCAGCTGTGTGACTTATCTTATGATTCTTATCATGGACATGTTTAGGTCACCTCTCAAGAAATGGTCAATCTGCTTCTGTTATTCTTACCCTGCCAAACTTCATAATTCTAGAATTAAAGTCATTTGTCCAGATGTGTTTTTTATTTCTGGATCATTGTTTTGATACAGTTTATGCTGTAATTTTTGTGGTGATTTTCTAAAGTTATATGTTTAGAGGAACACCCAGATCAATGAATTTGATGAGATCTGTTTTGCTGTGGTACTAAGAAGACTAATGAGAACTCTGGTGTGGATTTGGAAAGCAGACATTTGTAAACAAAAAATGTAACTTATTTTGGGAACATCTATGTTTCCCATGAGAAAAAGAGTGTGCTGCACAAGCAAAATTTATAAGCAGAATTTCACTTCCACAATGGAATCCGAATCTGTTTTCCGGCCTTTTTTGTGGGGGTGGAGGGGAAGTAGTTTCCTACATGTCATAACAAAGCCCCATTGCATCATCATTCTGGATTAAAAAAAAAAAAAAAAATCTTAAAAATTGCTTTTGTACATTCCATAAATGAAATATCCACATTATGCTCACATCACATTTGATAAAAAAGAAAAAACATTCTTGCTTTTTTTTTCCGTAGATCTCTTTTGATGGTTAATTTTGGCCTTCAAAATTCCAGGGTAATTAAAATGTTCCAATTTCTTAATTGAGGGGAAAGAGAAAGGAATATATATATATATATATATATATATATATATATATATTCAGGGATATTTCTTCGGAGAATATGGATTGGCTGGAAAGTTTTTACTTTAGTTAATTGAATAGAGCCAAATTCATGGCTGCATGTTTCTGCATAACTTGACTGATTGTGATCACATTTTTTGTATCAAATGTCTTACTTTGATGATGGATTAAGATTTAGGTCTATCTCTTTGGTTTATATCATGCTTCTTTCCCCTCGTAACCTGCAGAGGACAGGAATAATTTGGAAAAGTTAACGCTTGCTGTCCTGTCGCATTTGCCAACTGCCATACTATATGTTCATGACCTCTCTGGAGAATGTGGGACCTCACCTTCTGACCAGGTATTATTTGTTTTCATATTTTCAAATGATTAACTAGATGATGTTTAGAGTTATCCTTTGTTGGTTAGGTCACTGAAGTTCCATTGACACATACAATTAACATTTTATGTCTGGACCTTGCTTCATTCCAGAATTATTGAAAATTAATCTTTCATTTATGTCAAAAATCAACACAAGTGATTTCTGATACAGACAGCATGAAAAAAAGAAAGATAAGGAGCTCTTCGATACTACGTGAAAAGGAGAAGATTTGATTAAAAAATAAGATATAGGACAATGAGATTGAATTTACTTAACATTTTCATTGTTTTTGCTATCATGCTATGGCTACCATTGACAATTAATTTAGCTTTATTTTTTTTCCTCAACCCCACAACCCCCCATCCCACCACACCACAGAGCTATTTGAAAAATCAACAAATGGTAAACTCTTTAACCCCATGCTGCGAACCAACTGGTGTCATTATGCTTTAGTTAACTTGAAATGAGAAGCGTGCGGATTATTCTGTCTGTCTGAATCTATCATCACCTTGTCATTGTCCATGTTTTTGTAATTTTGCTGTAACAACTTGCCTATTTATATATGAACCTCATTAACAAAACTGGTAGTCTATTTGATGGAATAAGAATTGTTTATTTGTTCATCTATTCTAAAGTAGGCCATTCTTTATGTTCTTCAAGATGAAAATTCTCTAAGCTCTTTCTGCCTTACTCCCAACATGGAAGGAAGCACACTGGTAAAGATCTGAATTATATATTATGGCCTTTGGTTAGGACAAAATTTCCTGTGGAATTAATTTCATTGCACGGAATTGAACATTATGGGCTCTATGACTGCGAAGAAGATGTAGGAAAAGAAATGGTATGTAGGGATGTTCTAGCAGGTTTGAGCTAGATGGGCTCTCTGAAGCTTCCAGGATCTTTCTTTCTTCGCTTGCAAATCTAGTGGTTAAAGTTACAGAGATTTCATTTTCTTTATTTTTTCCCACAACCCATGTTCCAAATAATGTGCATCTCATTTGGAGACGAAGAAATGCATATTTTCTTAATCTTTGTGATTATTTTTGCTGTTGGAAAATGCTGCATTTAGATCTATTGCCTTCCCATGCCCCTCTCTGATTTTTTCTTAGGAAATGATCTCTTTGGGTTGCTGATAATGGATTTTGCAGTTCATCATATACAAAGAAATAAAAGGAAGGTTCAGTGAGCATCTTTGGCTTGATGTAGTCTCCAAATGTGATCTCTTGCATGGATCTCCTGTAGTATTCATTACAGAGGATGGTGATGCTGATGATCTGGAGCTGGCAAGGTACCGAAAAATGGGACCTGATGGATCCATCCGTGTCTCGGTGAAGAATGAAACTGGGCTAAACGAGGTTATTGTTTTATATCTTTGGCCTTAATTAGATCTTCAGTCACCAACATCCTTTATGTTCTAGCTTTCAAAGTTGAATGAGGTCAATAATATGTTATAACTTCAAGAGAAATAGAAAAAGAAAAAATAAACCCTACCAATAACCCTAATTATAATGTGAAAATGTTGTCACTTTAACATGAACTACACAATGCTACAGTACTCAGTAATAGTAAATGTACTACACTAATGTGAATAATGCATGTTAATGTGCTCATGACTTGTAGCTGTTACAGTTAAGTGCAGGTGTTCTTTGACTAACTTTGTTGAGATTATTGCTTCTGTGTCATTTGTGATACAAATTATCAACTATTATCACAAACATTATGATGGAAAATGCCCAATCTGGTCAAAGTCTGGTAAAAGATTTCAGGGGAGACCAATTATTACTTCTTTTTTTTTTTTTTTTTTTTTTTTTTTAATATATATTGAATGGGTGTGTGGGGGAGGGTTCACACTTTGACATACGTCCCATCTGTTTCATGATGTTACTTGCGTAACTGGGAGCTGATCTTATGATTTATGTAGTTGTTATCCACAGCCAATTATTTAGGTAAATCCTTAATGTTTTTTCTTTTCATTTTTTAATGAAATTTTCATGGACCATGAATAAAATTTTGGAGGCACTGTGAAATGTTCTTTTTAAAAAAATAATTTAAAATTCCCTAGGTTGGTTTTTCCTATGAAATGTCTAATTAAAATTTTGGAACTGCTTTGGAAATAGATGTCTTTATTACTAATGATGAAATTCTATCCATCTGTTCAGTGATCCAAGGAATATTCAGGGCCACTTAGACGCTCTTCTTGAAACATGGTTTCTTCTTATTAAATCATAAAATGAAAAACTTAGAAGAACAAGTTCTGTATCAAATTTAGACCTTTTGTTTATGCTTTGCAGCTGAAGAGCAAAGTTCATGAGCTGCTGGTTTCTCAATCATGGAGAATCAAAAGCGAAAAGAGTGACCATGAAACGAGTTGAAGTTAGATAATTGGTGAAAGTGTGCAGTCCTGGTGGAAAATTTTTGTCAGAGAAGAAAATAGTTACTAGTTGAACTATCCCGGAGGCTAAAAGCAGATTGAAACCCCAAAGCTGGCTCTATGAACTGGTTAAGTGTCATACTGTGCTGTTCATGCGGAGACTTTAAATCGTCAACCTAGCTCTCCTTGGTTGAAGAAAGCGACTTTGGTGCTCCTTATGCAGTTGAGTTGATGACAAGCCGCAGAGTTGAAATATACAGATGCTCATGTGCTGAATTTAGTTCGCTAGTTGGCTCATTGTCAGTTTCTGGCATAATAGTTTATCAAAGGGAAGGAATCAGATTCTTTTGCTGTCTGCTGATGATGAAATCAAATATCTGTAGGCATTAACAACAGTCTCTGGACCGAAAATGTATTTGTTATTGCTGTTTTTTGGAAGCATTATCGACTGTGCTGTGTATATATTTTAAGCTGATTCATGTAAATGACCTGTTCCATCATGCACAATAAAGTGTTATGCAGGTAATTCATCGATCATTTATTTGAGAAATTCCCATCATTTTAGTTGATCTTATCTTATCATATTCCATTTTTCTTCAAAACTCCATATTTAAAATCACACACGCACAAGAAGAAGAAAACTTTAGTGGAATTTTGGAAGGAGCAAAAGAAGCAAGAGTCAAACTAACAAGGCTTGCAGATAATAATAATTTGGAAGTTATAGCTTCAAAGGCAGAGGAAGTTGGCACAAAGTGCACCAAATACCCTATAAATTATTGGGAATTGTTTGCACTTTCACCGATAAATTGTTGTCTATAGACACTTTTGACCATGCTTTGACTATTACCACATTCTCATTCCAAATTTTTATAGCAATATGCCAGCTAGATATTCTCTTTCAAGTGAAAGCTGACCTTATTTATGGTACAATGATTTGTCATTATTTCCTACTTCTTCAGGTGTTTATCATAATTGATCTCTCTCAAGGGGTATAAATTGGTTAGTCCATGACATGGAGTCCAATCCATACTTGTTGTCATACACATATAATTAAGAGCATTTCAAATGGACTCTCAAATTCAAAATATAGAAGGTGGATGAAAGTGTGACACTTTAATAGTCTCTCAAAAGACTTTTTATATTTAAAATTTTCAAATATATTCTTAAATATAACAGCTGTCAAATAGTTTCTAAAACTCAAAATATAGCAAACGGAAGAAAATAGGTTATCTCAAAAGACCTCTCATATTTTAAGATTGTCAAAAGTTGCTAAAATAAAAATAAAGCTCTATAATAGGCTCTCAAAATATGTAATCGTTACAGCAGAATTGCAAAAATATAACATTTTGACATTATAATTCCTCTCAAAATATAAATTTGGCATGGAAATATAATATTTTTGCATTAGAGATGCTCTAATAGAAATCTAGATAGTAAGCACCAACGGAAAATATATATATATATATTTTTTGGTATTAGGCCAAAGTCTAGGTCGGAGTTGATGTCAAATTCATCTGTGAAATAACTTGTCGAAAATTGCTGGATAATGAAATATACTAAAATAACATGTTTGAATTCTTGACTTGATTCATTTACAAATTCTACAATTGGATTGTACAATTAGATAAAATATATTTAGAATACACTAATTACTTTTATATATATATATATCCATTATACTAGGGTTAACTCTCATATGAAAATAATGAGAAGATATCACTTGATTTAAAAGATAAAGTAAATTAATCATAATTGAAGTTGATATCATCATAACCAAAATTAATTCATCAACTATATGCATGGTCTTCAAGAAAATTATGAAATTCAACTAGAGATTTGTCAAACTTTTTTTTTTTGAGTGTATCTTATTATGTTACTACTATTAAATTAGACTCCGTGAGTGTTCAGAAGGCAGAAATTATTATTGCCAACGGAAGGGGAAAAATAAGTCAGAAATTATTTTTCCTTAAATTACATATGTGGAAAAAAAAAAAATGTCAGAAATTATTTTCTTTAAATTACAGCTGTGGAATTTTAAATTGAAGCCTCCCTTTTCTTCTGTCAAAACCACTTCAACGACAGGAGAGAGAAACTAGAGAGAGAAACTACAGAGAGAGAGAGACGGAGTCGGTCAGGCTGGCGAGCCACCAAACCCTCTATTTCTCTCACTATTCAACCAACACAACACTGATTCGTAATCGAACGAACGATCTCATGCTCGATTTTCAGCCTCAGTTGTAAGCCATTTGATGCGTGTTGAAACCAGAAATTTGCTTCAATTGTTGTCATTCAAGCCCTAAACTTCGGTACGTTTAATCGGATCTGAAAGGAGAAACAAGTTTCAACCAGCCAATGGCTTCGGCGAAGACTTCTCGGTCAAGGTCACTCTCAGGCACGCCAGCGAAGGGCAACGCCAAGGACACCGGCACGAAGCTCGAGGAAAATCTCAACCTATTCAGGTCCGATAATTTCGACGCCGACGGCTATGTGCAGTCCACGTGTCACTCCTTGAATGAGAAGGTTGGGATAGGATTGCCCTAATTTTATTTTATTGCACCAATTTCAAATCAATTTACGTGTGATCATTTCTCTATTCAAGCATATATTATTAGTATTACAGTGTTTAGAGATCTTTACTTGTTGATTGTATCTACAATTGTTTTGCTTGTGAATATCACTTATTCTGTGAGGGAATTGAGATTTGATAGAGCACGAGGGACTTGAATTATGCTTAAATGCTAAGTAGTACTGCGACTAATTGTTCAAAATAGTTTAATACTGAAAAAGTTTGGCCTCATTTGCTACCATTAACATTATATGCTGCACCTCAAATCAATTTAGGATTTGGTTATATTTATATATATATATATTTGGTTATATATCCTATTAAGGGGTATAAATAATAAAATTATGGTTTTATCACATAAAATCCTTTTTGACACGTCACTAAAAAGTTATATTTATCAAATTTAATTTTCCAAAAAAAGGAAAAAAAGAGGAGGACGTGACAAATTGCTGTCTAATAGTTGTTGATGTTGTATATAACTTTGGGCATTGATCCAATCAAATTTATTTACGATTGACATGCTATTTTATGAGAGAAAATATGTTACATGGATTATTCTAAATGCACAAAGTACTTGTGCCAGTTGGACTGCATCTGAGTTCTTCACATCTATTTCTCTCAACCACACGGACACTCCTAGCATTTGTGGGAATGCTTACATTTTGCTTAGCTGAAGAGCACAGTGGTGAACTATATATATGATATATCTCCACTCCTGCAAAGACACACCTATATCAAGTGCATTCACGGGCTAGACGTGAGATTTGTAGGGTTTTTATATCTTTCTTCATTTGGAGTTGAGAGTCTATCTGTTATAATAAATGTTCAATTAATTAAGAGAAATAAATGCCTCCGTCTGGTATAATAGTTGGTATAATTGCTGCTTATTGAAAGCATACATACATCTTGTATTCCTTGAGTTCCCACGTGAAGAACTCATGATAGATGACAAAATTATTTTCCTCAAGAAAATTTTAAAATAAATATCCTTCTATACGTGTGTGCATAAAAATCGTAGCAAATGAATCTTCTTTTTCCATTCTTTCCTATTATACATCATGTCTTCTCTTAAATTTAAGTTTTTAAAGTTGTTTTTATTACTTCGTCGTGCGTAGGCTTTGGTTAGCCTCTTTGTTGCTTACCTTCTAAACAAACAACTCTTCCTCTTTTAATAGCTGCATCATTGGGTCTGCATTGAATATAACCATACCACTAAAGTCTACTTTTCCTAATTTTATCATTTATAGGCGCTATACCTAATGCTCCCCTTTCATTATTTATCTTATCTTTTCTAGTGATTCCTAACATCCAATGTAATTCTCATTTCAACTACATTAATGCATTATATTTGTGTCTATTTCAAAGCCCAACACTCTGCTCCATACAATATTGGTAGCCTAATAACTCTGTATCGTTTGTCACAAAGTATACAACTAGCTTGCCTCCATTTGTCCACTCGACTCCAATCCTACTTACTACATCACCATCTATTTCCCCATCTTTTTGTTATATTGATCATAGCCAACATAAATAGTTCTTTTGAGTAACTCTTTGGTCTTGAAGTGTAACATGTATATTGTCATTGTCTTCTACTTTATCTTAATTACATGCCATATATTCCGTTTTAGTTTTACTAATTCTTAGGCCCCTTGATTCTAATGCATTTCTCCATATTTCTAATTTTGTTGCCAAGGCCTTCTTAGAAGTATCTATTAAAACTATATGTCACCCAAAAATAACGTACGCCGTTGGATGTTTTCTTGAATATCTTTTATTATTTCGTCTAGTATTATTGCAAATAGGTATGGACTCAACAACGGACCTTGGTCTAATCCCACCTTTATAGGAAAGTCACTAGTTTTCTCGCGTGTAGTGTAGATTCTAGTCAATATCTTACCATACATATCCTAAATAAGATTAAGGGTAAAGTCCAAAAAACTCCCCTGAACTATTGTCCGTTTGCAAATAACCCCCAAACTAAAGATTGCCCCACTGAACTATTAATTTCTTGAAATTAAGGACCAAGCCATTACAAAAGACTATTTTACCCTTTCTTATTAAAATTTTCATTTCTTATTAACTTATTTTTTATTATATTTTCTCTTATTCAAAAATTAATTATACCATTTACCTTAATTTTAAAATTAGTATCAATTTATCATAAAAATGGAAAATAATAAATAGATTAGTAGCTACCATTTTCTAAAATGATTAACTTATTATAATAAAACTTATTATACTCACTTTGAAAAAAAAATTAGCGTAAAAAAATACCTTTTTTATACAATATTCATGAAAAATTAATAAATTACGTAAATAAAAAATATCTTCTTTTTTATGCAATATATTCATGAAAAAATAAGAAGTTACTGAAATTATTTCAAAATTTTCTAATTAAGATTTTTATTTAAATAATTAATTTCAAAATTAAAGACAAAATTATGCAAATTTAATGGAGAATATTTCGTCAATATACTATGAATTTTTTTTTCATAATTTATTTCAACAGGAAAAATAGGTCAAGTGTAATACAATAAAAAAGGGTACTATGGTCATTTAATAAAAAATAGTCAAGGCAATGGGGCATTTTGCAACTAAATGTGAGAGTTAAAGGGGTTTTATGCACAAAAAATACTGCAGGAGGGTTATTTGCAAATTTGGACACAGCGCAGGGGGGTTTTCTGCACTTTACCCTAAGATTAATTAAGATTTATAAGTTTTATAGGTACCTTTTTTGTTTTTGTTTTTTGTAAAGCCCATCAAAATATGTTCCTTGGCACACTATCACATGCCTTCTCTAAATCTATGAAAACCTTACCAAGTATTTTTGTTTACTCCTATAAGTTATCTTATTAAGTATATGGCTTCCATTGTGAAGCTACGTGGCATAAATTTAAATTGGTTATCAAATATTGCTGTTTATTTCCTTAGTCTTTACTTTATTATTCTTTTCCCCAATTTCATTATATGACTCAATAATTTAATTCCTTTAGAATTTTCACAGTTTTGTATATCCCCTTTATTTTTATAAATTGGTACTATAGTACATTTCCTCCCGTCCCTTGGCATCCTTTCTTCTCTTTTAACTATTCAATGCCTATCTTCAATAAAATTCTCCAAGCCTCTATAGATATGTTATCCGGTCCAACAGTGTTTTAATTACCCATCTTTTTAAGTATGTCCTCTACCTCCTTATTATTAATTTATTTGTCATTCCTATGTACGGTTCGTTACTTACAATTTCTTATGTAGTATATTCCCCATTTAGTAATTATTGAAAGTAATTTTTTCATCTTTCTCATAAATCTTTGTCTTTAACTAATATTGTTTTCTCTCTTTTTTTCTTTTTTCTTTTTAATACACCTAACTTGATTCATGTCCCTCGTCAACCTCTCTCTATTCTTTGCCACTTTGTACTTATAAAAAAAAAAATTCTTTGCCAATTTGTAAATAGCTATTTCACCCTCTTTTGTTTTTGATTTTTCATACACGTTATTTAGTGCTTTTTGTTAAGCTTTGGCTACCATCTTTTTAACTTCATATTTAAATTTTTTTTTTTTTTTTTTTATTTCTCTAAATCCTCTTGTTTCTTATTATGTAAAACTCTATTCTTTTTACTTTTTATTTTTTTTATTGCTTCTTGTATTTCATCATTCCACCACCATATTTCTTTTATAATAATTTCTTTTGTGTAGTTTCTCCTAGAGTTTCTTTTGCTACATTCCTAATACAACCCACCATTTTGGACCACAAGTTATATATATATTTCCTTCCAATCCCATTGGGTTTCTTGTAGTATTTTTTCTCTAAAAGTCATCCCTTTATTACATTTCAAGTCTTTCCACTTTATGTGTGTTGAAGTCTTTTCATTACGTTTTGACTTTTTGATTCTTTGACCAAGAGGTCTAATGCTAATAGTCTTTGTTGGTTTGTCAAACTTCCTCCTGGGATTACATTACAATCTTTACATGTACTCCATTCTCCTCTTCTATATAAGCAATAGTCGATTTGTATCTTGTTTGTGCCACTCTTATAAGTGATCAAATGTTCTTTTCATTTCTTAAAAAAGATATTTGCTATAGCTACTTATCAAAAAAAAAAAAAAAAAAAAGAAAAAAAAAAGAAGATATTTGCTGTAGCTACATCATATACGCTAGCAAATTCTAAGTGTTTCCCTGTCTCATTTCTTGCCAACTAATAGCTTGTGATGCAGATTATATATAAGTTATAGATTAAGACACATGCTCTACTATTTCATTTCATTTTTTCTGTCATCACCTCTTATGGTAACCCTTTCATTCTAGTTTTTGTTGTAACTAATTTTAGGCGAATCTTGAGTTTGGTGGTGAAAAAAGACAAATTGCCCGGGATAGTTGATGTTTCCCAGGCACAAAATTTTCTTTTAAAGTGGGGAGGGTGCATGACTACGTGGTTGGTTAATCAGGTAACCTATAAAGGGTGGAAACATGCATGATATGGAAAATACACAGGAAATCTAGGATATACTTTTAACCCAGCAGTTGATGACATCTATTTTTATAGGTTATTAGATACATAATGGACTCTACCGTTCCCCTCCACTAAAAAAAAATTTACAAGGTGGGAATGTGGGAATTGGGATGGATGCTCATTGTCTCTTTTCCTGAAAGTTTTGTGCTACGTTTTTTCAATGTTCTCTAAAATTGGAATAATGAAATGAGATAATCGATTAAACCTGCACCATGTGTGTAGCAAAAGGCTAGTAACTGCTCCAATGAGGAAGAATGATATGATCCACAATGAGGATTATGCTAGAGGAAGGGAAGGCGAAAACTAATATAGATTGAGACAGTATGAATGATATGGTAACATTTGGCTTGATTGATGTTACGACCTTAGATAAAGCGGAATAACAGAAGAGGATTCGTGTAGTCAATGTATAATTGTTGGGAAAAGTCTTTGTTTAGTCGAGTTGCTTTCAAGTTTTCTTCAGCTTACATGATGCACTTATGCCATATTTCAGGAAACAAAAAACTTTTACAATGATATTTGAAACTTCTAAAATATATGTGTGCTTTGACTTTCAGGAAATCAGGCAATTATGCTCCTATCTTATGGATTTAAAGAAAGCTTCTGCCGAGGAAATGCGTAGAAGTGTGTATGCCAATTATGCAGCCTTCATTCGGTGAGTCCTTGTTGAAAAGCATAAAATGGAAGCAAATAGATAAATAAAACAAGAAGAAAACACATATATTACATGGTTCAACCACTAGGGCCTACATTCAAGGCACAAAGAGCCCAAAGGGCTACATCACTTTATAATACTCTCTTAATTCATATACAATACAATGGTGGAGGCTCCTTTATATAGGAAAAGAAATTCTGAGAATGGAAAGAATTAGAAAATAGGAAAAAGGAGGAATTTTCTCCATTGATTCCTCTAGTAACCCCAAATCTTACTGAAAGATTTTCCTCCATTGATTCCTCCATTAAATCTTCAATACTCCCCATCAAGTTAGAGCATGAATGTCTAACTTGCCATTGAGATGACGAGTAACAACAATTGTGAGTAATGAAGAGAGAATACGAAGACCAATGCTACCGAACACACCGGTAACCCAAACAAGTCGATAAAAACTGCTGGAGACACGGCACAAAATGAAGAAATGCTACCGAACACACCGGCAACCCAACCAAATCAACAAAAAACTGTGGGAGACATGGCAAAGGTGAGGACAATGCTACCAAACACATCGGTGGCCCAAACAAGTTGATAAAAACTGCCAGAGACACGGCAAAGGCGAATAACATTATTGCTGAACAAACCTGCAGCCCAAACGAGTCATAAATAGCACCGAGAAACCTTTAGCAACATTTTAGATGCTAAGGGAATACCCCAAAATAGGGGTCCAAACCTAGGAAGAGAAATTAGGCTCTGATACAAAACATAAAACGGAAGCGAATAGATAAATAAAACAAGAAACCACATATATTACGTGGTTCAGCCACTAGAGCCTACATCCATGGCACAAAGGGCCCAAAGGGTTACATCACTTTTATAATACCCTCTCAATTAATGTACAATACAATGGTGGAGGCTCCTTTATATAGGAGAAGAAATTATGAGAATGGAAAGAATTAGAAAATAGGAAAAAGGAGGAATTTTCTCCATTGATTCCTCTAGTAACACCAAATCTTACTGAAAGTTTTTCCTCCACTGATTCCTCCATTAAATCTTCAATAGTCCTCATGCCAAGATAATCCATGTTCTTATTTATGCCGTACGGTGAGCATCTATTTGTGAACCAATCTTTTTCTGTTTGAATTCATACTTGCCTTAGTATAATCTTATGAGTTTGTGAACCAGTCTTCTGTAGATGAATTCACTTTTGCAAATTCTAGAGCTAAATTCCAAAAAAGAAAAAACGGGAGGTGGGTGGAGAGTTTTCAGGAGGTTGTTGAATTTTTAAAATAGCTGGTCATAGTGCGGAGTTTGGTGGGCATGCTTATCATTTGGAAAGAAGGAACTAATATGCCTTGACGTTATTGTTAAAATAGAAACTTGATTTTATCTGGATTGCAGATGTGCTTGCACAATTACTTCTTTGAAAGAAAATATCTAGAAATTTTTTGTTTCTATCATGAAGTGAAGGGGAATGTTGTTGTTCTGAAACTTGATTGGGCTAATGTAAAAAAGTAAAAAAAGAAAAGAAAAAGAAATATGTTAGGAAATTAGTGGATCAACCAATTACTACTAACACTTTTCCTAGATCACAAAAATATTTTTTAAGCTTTGGACCTATTACAAAGCTCACTGAATATGGTATTTTGATTTCCCGAGTAAGACTTAAGAGAACAGACAGAAACTTGTTGTTTTTCCCTTCTTCTTTTTTTCTTCTTTTTTTTTTTTTTTGGTTCTGGGAGTGGGAGGTGATGCATCTCTCTCTCTCTCTCACACACACACACACACACATTAATTTAAAAATGAATGTAGTTCTATAACTCAAGCCATCCAACTACATATAACGATGACATGATCACAGCTTCTTATGTTCTCTTTTTTATATATAAAAGATGAGATTAACTAGCTCCTTTTTACCTGTATTATCAATCTATATTTGGGTTCCCTTTTAGGAGTTCATTTTTATATTTGTGATTGATTACTTATTGAGTACATCCTGGATCCTGTATAATCTGTTTCTTTCTTTCCTTCTCTTTTCCCCCTCTTTTTCCAGCACAGCGAAAGAGATATCAGATTTAGAGGGCGAACTTTTGTCAATCAGAAACCTTCTATCTACTCAGTCAACTTTAATTCATGGTCTAGCTGAGGGAGTTCACATTGATTTATTATCTAGCACTGTTTCTGATGGTCCTACTGCAAATAGTTTATCCAACTATGAAGACAAAGAACCTTCAGACCTGGAGAAACAATTAATAGAGTTCCCCGATCTCCTGGATGTTTTATTAGCCGAGAGGAGAGTGGCTGAAGCTTTGGTAGCCCTTGATGATGGAGAAAGAGTAGCTTCTGAAGCAAAAGAAAAGAAAAGGTTGAGTCCAGCTGTACTCGTGTCACTTGAGACAGCTATTAGTGAACGGAGGCAAAAATTAGCGGATCAGCTTGCTGAAGCTGCTTGCCAACCTTCTACACGTGGTGGTGAGCTTCGTGCAGCTATTTTAGCTCTTAAAAAGCTTGGAGATGGCCCCCGTGCTCATAGTTTGCTACTCAATGCACATTACCTAAGATATCAGTATAACATGCAATGTCTTCGTCCGTCAAGTACGTCATATGGAGGAGCATATACTGCTGCCCTTTCACAGCTAGTGTTCTCTGCCATTGCTCAAGCAGCCAGTGATTCATTGGCCATTTTTGGCAAGGAGCCAGCTTATACTTCTGAGCTTGTGATGTGGGCTACTAAGCAAACTGAGGCTTTTGCACTTCTTGTTAAAAGACATGCATTAGCTTCATCTGCAGCTGCTGGAGGTTTAAGGGCAGCTGCAGAATGTGTTCAAATAGCATTAGGTCATTGTTCATTGCTGGAAGCTCGTGGATTGGCACTATGTCCTGTGCTACTGAAACTCTTTAGACCTAGTGTTGAACAAGCACTAGATGCTAATTTAAAACGAATTGAAGAGAGTACTGCTGCTATGGCAGCCGCTGATGATTGGGAACTTACATATCCCCCACATGTTACACGTCAATCTGGCAGGCCTTCAAGTACATCTCTTGGCAACACAACGACAAATCACCATAAACTTTCAAGTAGTGCTCATCGCTTCAATTCAATGGTCCAGGTGAATAACTTAGCTATTGCGCACATATTTTGTGCACCATCTTTACAAATATTGATTGACTTATTTTTTTAGTCTGTGTTGCTTAAGGATATCTGGATATGTTCTGAATGAAGACAATAAATTTTTTTCCCCCAATAAAGTGGTGATGAAAATGTTGCTATACTCTGTGTTGTTTTGGGTGGGTGGGGGGTACACCAAATTTGAACCTCTTAGCTAAGCTTTATTTCTAATCTATCTTAATGAACTAGTTTCCATTTTGCATGGACACTTCGATTGTACTGCACTGTGCTTTGACTCTTCAAGTCAGGCCCAGAAGCCTCCAGCAAGCTTTACAATTTGTCAACATACGCCATGAACATGTGTTCCCACACCCTGGAACCTTCTTTTTTATTTTTAACACATAGCTGAAATAGTTTGTATACAATGACACCTAAAAACATGACTGTTTTTCTTAATAAGAAAAATGTTAGTTGTAAGAAACAGATACAATATGTAAGTGGTACACCAAATTCAAACCTCTAAACCTCTTTACTGAATTTGCTAGCTTTATTTCTAATTAATGAACTAGTTTCCATTTTGCATGGACACTTCTATTGTACTGCACTGTGCTTTGACTCTTCAATTCAGACCCAGAAACCTCCAACAAGCTTTAAAATTTGTCAACATACACCATGAACATGTGTTCCCACACCCTGGAACCTTCTTTTATTATTATTATTATTATTATTTTTTTAACACAGCTGAAATAGTTTGTATACAATGACACCTAAAAACATGACTCTTTTTCTTAATAAGAAAAATGTCAGTTGTAAGAAACAGATACAATATGTAAGTGTGTAACATTTTCATGAACTTTGGAATTTTCTTTCAAAAAAGAACTTAGATGAGGGTTTTGACTGAGGAGGAGTGGATGCGACCCTGCTTTCACCACTAACTGGCTTACCAAAAATTTAGCATCATTTGATATATAATGGACAATATGGGAAGTGGTAGTTGCAAAATGATGTCAAATCTGGCATTTCATTATTTGATTCATATAATTGATCCTATAAATGTGTCTGAATTAAGACTTGGTTTTGATCGCGGTTCTGTAAGAGGTTAGTTGATGGCATACAAAATTCCTCTCTCTTTGTGATATCTCAGTCTGATCTTTAGGTGTACTATCATTTCCCACGTACTCATCAATCACATTTCATTTTGCTATGAATTGTTCTCGGTCTCTTAGTATAAATTAGGTTGAAAACTATGTTTTTTTCTTGGTGTATACTCAGCGGCTCAATATCATTTGAGGCCTTGGGCGAAAAATATAAAAATAATCTTTTAATATCAAATAATAGTTAGCAATGTTTATTTAGGAATCATCCTTGTATTCAAGTTTTATAGAATTATTTTTTTTATAAATAATATTGCCAATTCATTCAAGTTTTCTCGTTACATAACTAATCTTAGATATCGGCAAAAGTGATAGGTATGGTCAAATAATATTATGTAAGCAATGCATGCATAATATTTTGGTGTACGCATCACATTTCAGTTTGCTATGAATTGTTCTCGGTCTCTTGGTATAAATTAGGTTGAAAACTTCTTTTCTTTTTTTTTTATTGGTGTGTACAGGGGTCAGGGGCGGCTCAATATTATTTGATGCCTTAGGCGAAAAATATAAAAATAATCTTTTAATATATAATATTTTTAATATCAAATAATAGTTAACAATGTTTATTTAAAAATCATCCTTGTATTCAAGTTTTATAGCCAGTTTATTCAAGTTTTCTCGTTACATAACTAATCTTAGATATGAGCAGAAGTGATAGGTATGGTCAATAATATTATGTAAGCAATTCATGCATCTGGAAAAGAATCTATATATTTTTTTATAATGTAATTTAACATTTCAATTTGAAATGTTTGTTTCCATTTGTAAAATTTTTTTAAGACATTATTTTCTCAAACTATCATCATCTAATGATTTTAACTTTTAAATACTTTTTTTTGAATATATGTGTGGAATAAGGAAAAATAAATAAAGATAAAGGTTAAAAGAGAATATCCACTAGGGTTAATTATATATTACTGTTAGTGTAATGATAATGATAGACGAGAAAAAAGAAAAGAAAAGAAAAAAACATGGATAGAAATTTTTTGTACCTACTATTAAATGGGGGTATAATAATAGAAGAAAATAAAAATTTTAGGGAGGTTATAAGGTAAGAAAGTATAAAAAAAAAAAAATTGGGCCTTTCTATTGGCTATAGTCTAATTATAAAAGGAAGGGCACTATTAAATGGAGTCTAATAATACTACGAGGAAATAAAAAATTTTGGGAGGCCACTTATAATGTTTTGGGACATTTTTTTTGGCTGGAGTCTAATGATAGAAGGAATTAATGAAATATAAATTTTGGCAAGGTTATAATATAAGAATATAAAAAATTTGGGGCCTTTTTATTGGCTGGGCCTTAGGCAACCGCCTAAGTTGCCTAAGGCTCCGGCCGGCATTGTGTATACTCTTTCTGACTTGGTTTTATTAATATCTTGTGCACTCTGTCATAGCATACTAAAACGTAAGTTAGACAAGATTCTCAACAATTAGTTCTCAAATTGGTTTTTCTTGCTAAAAACAGATTACCTGGGTGTTTTTGGTTCTTACTTCTTAGGATCATATTCTGCTTATTTGAGCATCTTGAATGTGTTCATCTTGACAGTTGAATGTTAGTTGAGATTCAATAGAATCTGCTTAGATATGATTCTTTATCAATGATAGTGATCTATTCCTCATGTTCATATTGCTGTATATTTTTTATTGCCCTTGCAGGATTTCTTTGAAGATGTGGGACCACTCCTTAGTATGCAGTTGGGAGGTAAAACCTTGGAAGGTTTGTTCCAGGTATTTAATTCGTATGTTAACATGCTCATAAAAGCGTTGCCGGGTTCCATGGAAGAAGAAGCAAACTATGAAGGTTCTGGAAATAAAATTGTTCGAATGGCTGAGACGGAAGCCCAACAACTTGCATTGCTCGCAAATGCATCCCTATTAGCAGATGAACTACTGCCACGTGCAACCATGAAGCTCTCCCAATTGAATCAGGCTAATTACAAGGATGATACTCGTAGAAAACCTGCAGATCGGCAAAACCGTCATCCTGAGCAAAGAGAATGGAGAAGGCGTCTTGTCAGCTCGGTTGACCGATTAAAAGATAGTTTTTGTCGACAACATGCTTTAGATCTTATTTTTACCGAGGATGGTGATAGCCATCTTAGTGCAGACATGTACATTAACATGGATGGTAATATGGATGAAATAGAATGGTTCCCTTCTTCAATATTCCAGGTATTTCTAGGCAATTCTGCTTTTTCTGTCTTCCTTACCTCTCAATTGTATAGTTATTAGTCATTTTTTATTGGTATACAATTTTTTTCTAATTGCCACAAACTTTCTAATTCTAGATTAAGCAATTCGAAAGCTCAGTGTCTGCCTATTGTAGCAGTTGATTCACATTTACTAGTCTGGTAGTTTGACCACAATATTTAATAGGACAACTTCACAATTTCTGCTTGATTAATAGGATAACTCATTCCTCTTAAGTGAAAACATTGATCTAGATTCTCTCACGCATTACAAGGCACATGCATGGGTATGATTTTCCTTGTTTTATTGCTAGTCATATGTTACATTGACTGACTAATTTAGAGATATATGTACGGTTTTACTACTATGGGCATTGTTATTCTGTGTTATATTTATTTCCTTCCTTTTGTTCTTTCCATGTTTGGCTAAGGTGTGCGACAATTAAGGGAATTGTTGGTAAACTTTTTTTCTTTCTAAAACCAGTGTTTGTATAGGAAACAGTGCTTTAGTACTGACTAAATTGTGGTGGGGGGTGGAAATCATGCCTAAGTTCAATTTTTTTTCCCCCTAGTTCTTTATGCTTCCCAGAAAAAAAAAATATCATAAAGGACTCATTCTGTCATGCCGATAATGAGTTCTGCTGCCAATTTCAGGTAGCTGGATTGGAGACTTTTGAATTTTATGTGATCAAGATATTTGTAGAAGTTCTTTATGGTTCCAAAAAAACAAAAATCAAAAAACTTTTATGCTTTATTCAATATTAAGTTTTTGTTTCAAATTCTGTGTTGGAATTTATTTTAGTTTAATTTTCTATATCTATTTTATTAGCTTATATTGTAACTTAACTTTATTTTTCTTTTTTTCTGTTGTTGTCAGGAACTTTATGCCAAACTCAACAGGATGGCCAGTTTTGCTGCAGATATGTTCGTAGGCAGGGAAAGATTTGCCACATTGCTGTTGATGAGACTCACAGAAACTGTCATCTTATGGCTCTCGGAAGACCAAAGTTTTTGGGATGACATTGAGGAAGGACCAAGGCCTTTAGGTCCTCTTGGTATTCAACAGGTTTGTAGGGTTGGCATTCATTATTTTACCTGCACTCTTTATTGCGCAGTTAGTTGAAACTGATCTTCTGTCTACTTGTTGAATCTTGTGCAGTTTTATTTGGATATGCAGTTTGTCATCTGCTTTGCTTCCCAAGGGCGGTACCTATCTCGGAATTTGCATCGAGCTGTCAAGGAGATCATATCTAAAGCAGTTGCAGCATTTGCTGCGACAGGAATGGATGCGTATAGGTGTGTTGGTTCTTTCAAGTACTGTATTTAACTTTGGGCGCCATGCTATTATTTATTTATTTATTTATTATTGTTATTTTTTATTTTTTAGCTTGTATATGTGAGTTCTCTGTTTTAGTTTCTAACCTCCTGCTTTAATAAAACTGAAGATATCGTAGTTGGAAATCCAATGAGTTGGTGATACCAAGTCGTTTTTAATAGGAGTAAAAGTAGCTTTATGCCTGTGTAAGTGAGGTAAATGATTCACACACTGATTCTATTGAATTGACTTGAAAAGTGGATCCTGATTACAGAAATGAACTTTGACTTGTGTTTAAAAATTATATCCACCCTGTTGGTATTCTTAATCATCTACCAAAGCCCCTTCTGATTAACAGTCTGCTTTGTTTGAAATTATGGCTGTATTGTTGGTCTAAACATCCTAATAGATTTTTGTGCCAAGCTTTGTAAATAGTGACTGTTAGACTGGACACATCTGCATTACAAAGGCCTTTTAAGTATTCTTGGATTATGGCATGTATTCTTAACTGCAGAGACTCAGTTCACTAAACTTTTCTTCTTATTTAGTGGGCTTCTGTTCTTCTGATGACAAATATTGATGTGGGATGGGGATTGGGGAGACACTATGTTATAGTGGACATGTAACTTCCTATACTATATATATGTGTAGACAGATAATTGATTGCTATCAGCTTTCAATTGTATCCGTTTTAGGCTAGTCGCAAACCTTCGATACATGGATGACCTTTTGATGCCATGTAACTGTATAAATAACATCCTTTCATAAGACTTATGTATTGACTTACAAAAACACATGATACAATGATAGGATTTTAGAACCGAAAGGATGATCAGTTAGATGTATTGGTGTGATTAGGGGCCTGTACAGCGGAACTGTTACATGTGTGAGAATGATGGGAGCATAGAGCATTAAGTCTACATCAATGATTTCCATTGAGTAATCATATTTTTGCATTGGTCGTACATATCGTCCGTTACAATCACATTACGCTATTATGTAGTGATATTATTAGCTATGAACTCATTGTGGGGTCTTATGTCAGTCTTGTTAAAAATCACAGGCTTTACGGATTTAGACACCATTGTATGTTAGGCCACCAATTTGACTGACTTCATTTACGGCACTTCCAATCATTGTTCAAGACTTCAGCTTCTGTTTTTTTTTTTTTTGATAAGTTAGACTTCAGCTTCTAAACTGCTGAAAGCACCCCTTTCCCGTAGATTTACTTCTCAGAAATCATAATACCTAATATATAATTTTAGATTGTTAATCAAGAGTTTGGGACATTTCACTTAGTTTTTTTTTTGTTTTATGTAGGTTAGAACTAAATTGTTGTTTAATATTATATCCCCGATGATGCTAGTGGATCTTGTTCAGGCTTATGTGATCAATGATTGGAGAGGTAGCAGAGGTGATGGTTGGGTCGAAAAGAGAATTGATGGTGGCAGAGGCTAGTGTTGAAGAATATATATGGTTTTATTTTGAGAAAAAGAGAGGAGATGAGAGAGTTTGCATGACACAAGAAGAAAGATGTGGTCTTTTGATATAACCATAGTTAATTATGAGGGAGTTTTAGGAAGTTAGAATTATGTTTTTAACCTAGGGTGTCATATGCTTTTTTTTTTTTTTTTTTTTTCCTAGTTGGTACTCAAACACACATGCCTCCACTGAGGTTCGAACTCTTGACCTCCCTTTGGAAAGTAGGGGCCTGGTACCGCTAGGCCACAGGCCTATTGGTGTGTCATATGCTTTTCAAACATGTTCATGTTTATTTTGAGACATGTTTATGTTGGGTCAAATGCTTTATCAGATAGACATCATAGACTAGAATTTTGTTGTTTTTTCAAAGAATCATATACTATATACCATACATGATTAGTATTGAGATTTATCGAATGCCATTATATCATAGTCATCTGAACTCTTTGCAGCATAAACAGCCCATTTTTAAAAGTCCAATTAGTATGATTTTTCATTGTTCAATTTTTAACATAAAAGTGGTGGAGAATAAAAATAGTAAGATTCTCTTGCTGACAAGACATTGACTTGTGACGTCAATGTAAAATTCACGACCAATTAAGAAATTCTACAGAATTAATAAAAATCATTAAAGATCCAAATTTATGGGCTTCCAAGATTAAAACATATCTATCAATACGTGTTATGCTGCTGTTGGAAGATACATTTGGATACAATTGGTTTGCCTGGAGATTAGATCTGCCTCCACTCTCCAGTGTACTCCCGCACTGGCTATTTGCACGTGAATTGTGTTTCAATATGCAATATTCACCAAAGATCTATAGTATTTTAATTTCAAGAGCAACCAAAGTTTAAAGTAAAATCAAGGCATGGAATTTTGTGAAGAATTCTTCTTGTAATTCATGCTGTTTATTGTTGTAATGGACTTGAATTTATCAACATAAAAGGTACATATAAAGCTAAAAAAAAGTCTTGTTTCACTGCTGCTGGCTAGGTAGCATCTGACTGTTATATTTGCTTGGACTTTGCTAGAAAAATTAAAATTATTATTATTTTTTAATTTATAAAGTTCGATAGAATTGCAATTTGGTATATTTGTAGCATCAAAGTTTCGACTTTTTGAAGCTGAGTTTTAATGTTGGCAGCATACTTCCGGAAGACGACTGGTTTGTCGAGATTTGCCAGGAAGCAATAGAAAGATTGAGTGGGAAACCAAAAATTGCCAATGGGGATCGGGATCCTAATAGCCCAACAGCGTCTGTCTCAGCACAATCAATTTCATCTGTCAGATCTCACGGGAGTTCCTAATGAGAAATCGTTTCACCTCATGTATATTAGAAGCAAACAGAATCCGCCATGGATCTGCAGGGAGTCTTGTATTCATAGTAAGCAACTCCAATTTTAATTGTTTTTTTTCCCCCCCCAATTATTTTCTTCATTGTTTAATTTTCTTTTTATTGTAGTACAAGGACCCAACAATTTCTGTAGTTAAGGTTTGCATTGTTATGAAGTTAGGAATTCTTTATGCTCTCTGGTTGGGGGAGCATTTGAGTTTGTAAATGTTGATTGCATTGTTTGATCCTAAATCCAAATTTGTTTTCACTCATTGACTGTTGCAGCAAGGGATTGTTAACTGAAGCCATTAGACATGAATTTCTTTGAAATATGTGGAGGCGCGGGAATTTCTCGTTATTGCTCTGTATATATTTTTTTTATGGTCCCTTTGTTCAGTTTTACTTGTACATTTGGTATTACTATTATTTTAAAATTTTCTTGTCCCAAATAAAAATTGAAGCCAAGGAGAGAGAAAATGTAACGATCCACTCTACCACATGGTATGATATTGTCCATTTTGGGTCTGAGTTTGTACGGTTTTGCTCTTGAGTTTTATCCTAAAAGGCCTCATACCAATTGGAGTGACACAATTACATATAAACACTTTACCTTTTTCTTACTTAGGCGATATGGGATTGTGCACCCGTAGCTCGCTTAGTGTGGTAACCTGCTAGTGTCTCGAACCTGCCAACAGGGTCATTACAATGGGAAAATTCCTATTAAGTTCTATAAATTTTTCAAAAAGACAAAAAAGTCCTATTTTGTAAAATATTTCCAAATAGGTTCAGATTTTGCAAATTGTAAATTTTCCTATTTTGTAAAATATTTCCAAATAGGTTCAGATTCTGCAAATTTTATTCCATTATTGCCCTTCCAACTAAAACCTACCATCTCTAAAACCATACCCTTAAATTCATTTCTTGTTTAATTGTCGACGAACCCAAAAACAGCGTCGATGAGGTATCTGGCGAGGACAGAGGACGGTAATACAAGGATTTACCAATGAGCACGCGAGTTGGGTGTGGCCGATGATGGCAGCAAGCTTGATGAAATGACCGTCCGGTAAGCACAGTGGAGAGGACAGCATGAATGAGCCACCAAAAATGGACCCGCGACCACAGTGACTGCGAGAATGTTGGCGAGCTCGAAATAGCAGGGAAGTAAGGATTTAACTGTGAGCACACGTGACTCGGAATGAACCGCACCGGCGATGAACAAAAATGTCGGCGGTGCTGTAACTGAACTTACCGGCCAAACAAATTCTAGCGAGACACACTGAGCTTTAGCAACCATCAACTTCGACAAGCCAACTTCAGACCCAGCAGCTTCGATATTCTTTTTTATTGCTAGTGCAGTTGATTTGAGACCCGTCGACAACACCAAGCTCACACCGGTGACCGGCGAGCTCCCAGCGTCAGTTACACAGCTTATACTGGCGAGCTCCAAGCATCGAGAACTTCATCGGGATCGAAGTGTTCAAAGCGGCGTCGGAGTGCGTGAGGGCCTAGTACATCTCCATTGACGCGCCGCCGAGGTAGGTTAAGACGGTGGTAGGTTTGGGGTTGGAAGGGCAATAATGGAACAAATTTCACAATCTGAACCTATTTGGAAATATTTTACAAAATAGAACTTCTCTGACTTTTTGAAAAATTCGTAGAACGTATTTGTCTTTGGGCCTAAAAAGTAGGATTTAATAGGAATTTTCCCTCATCACAATCCACCCCCCTTGTAGGCCCGACGTCCCTGTCAGCACACTTCCGACTAGGTCAGGCTCTAATACCATTTGTAATGACCCACTTCAACACATGGTATGATATTGTCCGCTTTGGGCCTGAACCCGCACGGTTTTACTCTTAGGCTTTACCCCAAAAAGCCTCATACCAATTGGAGTGACACAATTACATATAAGCACTTCACATTTCCCTTACCCGGGTAATGTGGGATTGTGCACCCATAGCTCGTTCAGTGCAGTAGTCTGTCAGTGTCTCACACCCTCTCATAGCACACCCGCCCACAGGATCATCACAATCCATTTGTAACGACCCACTCTACCACATGGTATGATATTGTCCGCTTTGGGCCTGAGCCCGCACTGTTTTGTTCTTGTGCTTTACCCCAAAAGGCCTTATACCAATTGGAGTGACACATTTACATATAAGCACTTCACCTTTTCCTTTCCCAGACGATATGGGATTGTGCACCCGTAACTCGTCTAATGTGATAGTCTGTCAGTGTCTCGCACCCGCCCACGGCACACCTGCCTACAGGGTCATCACAGTGCACTTCCCTTGGAGACTCGTCGTCCCCGTCGACACACTTCCGACTAGGTCAAGCTCTGATACCATTTGTAACGACCTACCCCACCACATGGTATGACATTGTCCGCTTTGGGTCTAAGCCTACACGGTTTTGCTCTTGAGCTTTACCCCAAAAAGTCTCATACCAATTGGAGTGACACACCTACATATAAACACTTCACCTTTCCCAGGCGATATGGGATTGTGCACCCGTAGCTCGCCAGTGTGGTAGCCTGTTAGTGTCTCACCCCTGCCCACGACACACCCATCCACAAGGTTACCACAATCCACCCCGCTTGAGACTCGACGTTCCCGTCGGCACAACCCCACATCGCCTGGGTAAGAGAAAGGTAAAGTTCTTATATGTAGTTGTGTCACTCCAATTGGTATGAAGCCTTTTAGGGTAAAGCCCAAAAGCAAAATCGTGCGAGCTCATGCTCAAAGCGGACAATATCATACCATGTGGTAGAGTGGGTCGTTACAAATGGTATCAGAGCCTGACCCAATTGGAAGTGTGTCGACGGGAAAGTCGGCAGAAGTGTGCCGACGGGGACGTCGGGCCTCAAAGGGGGGTGGATTGTGATGACCTTATGGGCGGGTGTGCCGTGGGAGGGTGCGAGACACTGGAAAGCTACCATACTAGCGAGATACAGGTGCACAATTCCACATCGCATGGATAAAGGAAAGGTGAATTGTTTATATGTAGGTGTGTCACTCCAATTGGTATGAGGCATTTGGGGGTAAAACTCGAGAGTAAAACCGTGCAGGCTCAGGCCCAAAGCGGACAATATCATACCATGTGGTGGAGTGGGTCGTTACAAATGGTATCGAGCCTGAACTAACCGGAAGTGTGCCGACAGGGACATCGGGCTTCCAAGGGGGTGGATTGTGATGACCCTATGAACGGGTGCGAGACACTAGCAAGCTACCACACTGAGCGAGTTACGGGTGCACAATCCCACATCGTCTGGGTAAGGGAAATGTGAAGTGCTTCTATTTAGTTGTGTCACTTTAATTGGTATGAGGCCTTTTGGGGTATAGCTCAAGAGCAAAACCGTGCGGACTGAGGCCCAAAACGAACAATATCATACCATGTGGTGGAGTGGGTCGTTACAGAAAATGACCATCTTGTTGAGTTGGAAATGGAGATTGTGGACTTTAGATTTGGATGGCAAAGGACATGTTTGGCTTTGCACAGGTAATTGTGCTTCAAAAAAGGTTGTTGAATTGAGTTTGAGATCGAAATGGCTTGTGCTCAAGCTTAGTTGATAACATTGGATGGTCGAGCCTCGTTTGTGTATGTGTGTGTGTAAAATTTTGGCTGAGAATCGCAATGTGTGTACCTGATGTTCCTCTCATCTTCGTTTTTTTCTTTAGGGCAATTGCATCCAGATCGGTTAAATCCTAGAATAGCATAGTTTGAAGAGTGCTGCTATTTTACCCGACTAATAAACAACCTACAAAATACAACTCCTTCGTGGCTTTCTAACTATGGAGCATCGTAAAACCGCAAATATATCCGCACTGTTCATCTTCACAAGAAGCATCGGCAACTATTCATCTCTATCTTCACAAGAAATGTAGTATTTTCCCATTTCTTGCATTTGAAGAACTAGCAGGAATTTTGAAACATGTAATTCTTTATAAACACTTTTTTCCCTTCCAATTTGCATAACTCACAATTCGTCTATCAATTAAGGGTTAGGGTTTCTGAATCAATCATTATTTATCCATACATGTTACAGGCTATTGTCGATATCCTGATGCAAAATTTTTTATTTTGATATGCCCTATTGACGTTTAAGAAGACACTGGAATGGAATGAAGGAGTGAACAAGATCAATATTCATGTGGAATTGCATTTGAAAGCATAAAATTAAAAAAAATTTAAAAAAAAATCTAAAGAAAACATATCAGATAAATTCAATTAAGAAGAAAAGGGATGAGCCCAAAATCATAAAAGAGAGTAGAGGTTTGTGCAGAGGAGTGAGAGAGCCGTGACCATAGAGATTATGCATACACAGGATAGGAGTGAGAGTAAAGTTGGGTAGTCGTGGGGAAGAAGGGCGTGCCAGTTGTACCAATTCAAGGTATTTTTCCGGTTAAACCTAGTCGTTCATTTTATCATTTTCCTAGTTTAAATAGCAACAAAGCATCAAAAATCGGGAGGACAAGATCTATTATTTTTGGAAGTTGACGCACGTGAAAACAAATTAAAGTAAGGTTCAAATTTTACCTTGCAAGTGATTTACAAACTTGTTACGGGAAAAGAGAAACAAAGAGAGAATATTTTGAGGCCCGTATTCTCGTAAATCAAAGATAGAAATTGTAGTAAAGTCGTTAGCAATTGAATAATGATACATGGTCTAAAAGTGTTAGCAATTGAATAATGATACAAAGTTCGAAAGTTGAATATATTCGACTAAATTGTGTGAGCAATGAATGATGTCATCTCTCACTCACATAAAACCTTAGAATTGCTTATTATTATTTTTAGTAATTTAATGGAATGAATTATGGACAGATTGAGAGGAATTAAATTTGTATTTGTATTTTTTTTCCGGATAGCATTATTATTTGAATGGACTTTAAAGCGTGTGATTGGCAAGTTAATAATAGGCGACAGTGACCATAAGTTCATGGCGTAAATTTGTTGCATTTGTCTATTAACAACGAAAGGAGTCATTGTTAGATGCAACAGTAAAAGTTTTTAAGTTCGAAGGTTGTAAAAACAATACAAAGGTTAGGTTTGTCATTCATTCCACACCTTATAAATTTTATACCAAATTTTTAGACACCTGACTGCGAGAGAGAGGATAGAATCGGTGTAGTGGAGTAGAGCTACTTTATTACTCTTATTCAACCGATTGCAAATAATAATAATAAAAAATAAATAAATAAATATCAGTTACTTAAATTTGGTTACATGATTTATTTATTTTTCTTGTATACATTAAATTCATTAATCACGAAAAAGAGAATCCTGAAACAAAAATTAAGTTTTATTTTTTGTTTTTACCCTAACAAGCATATAACATTTTATAAAAACATAAAAGCAATACACGAGTCATCCCTTGCTAAGGCAAGGAATGGACCAGACCACATACAAACTTATCAAAAGTACCACAAAGCATACCCCCACAACATAACATGAAAATGCAATCCTTTATATTGGTGCACTGACCAAGTAGACTGCCAAAGCCAGTACCGGCAGAGAGATAGGGCCACATGAACTAATAATAGCCCTAAAAACATAGCTTGTCCTTCACGCACAAGTGACAAAGTCTTAATTGCCTTTGACAAGTGCACAGTATTTCTCATTAATAGAATATAGGAAATGATCACCGGAACCCAAGATGACAATGACATGTTTGTCGGCGATACTTGAGCATCGGAGACACCTATGACCATAACAAATCTCCACCAATCCCAGAAAGCATCAGAAATTCCATGAACCAAAAGCTTGCCCATCGTTGAAAGGTGTCTTAGAACACCCATCTGTAGTTCAAACTCCATGATTTGGTACATCACTACCGAGCTGTAGATCCATCATGAAAACCCATAGAGAGGTAACACTTGGATGGAAAGAAACGAAGGAAGTCCAATACAGAAGGTAGGACCCAAAACAACACAAATTGAAATTTAGCACCAAAAAGAATAATAAAACAACCGAAACAATAGCAGGATCAAAAGGAAAGAGAGACAAAGATAAACCTGCTGAAATTGCCGATGCTAAAAACCGAGTAACGACACAACCCCCAATAGAAAGTCGGTACCGGTGTATCCAAGCCGATAAACCGATTTGATCTTCTATAGGAATAACGATGAGAATAGGAGAAAGCATGGAACCCAAATCAGAGAACTTGATACCAGAAAAGATGAAAAAAACAAACATGAGGTCCCAAAGTAAGATGTGAGGCCACACCTAGAGATGTACATAGCAAGCTCCATGAAAGAAACCAATAGGATCTCATGGATGAAGAAGACCATTAACCCAGAGACCACCCCCAGGATCCCATAGCTGAAGCACACCGACAGCCTAAAGCTTAGCCCATAGGACACCGAAAACATCCGGCACGCCCATGTGTGACATGAGAACACTAACCCAAAAGGGAAGAAACCATGAACAGGAATAGACCTAAGAGCATATCCACTCACTATCCATGTCGTCTCGAGAAAACGACCAGAAAATTCCAAAATGCTTCTAGGAAAAGAAAATTGATGAGAAGGATAGTGAAGGAAAATCCAAGAAAATGCTTCTAGGAGCAATTGAATATTAAGCTTTATGACCTAGAAAACAACACTTCGACTTTGATTGTTATGTAAGCATACCGTGTCATTGTAGAAAATAAGTTTAGGGAGGGACGATAAGCAATTTAGACGGTAGTTAATGCACCTGATTAGTCAATTATTAGTATCTGATTTAATTGTTACACACACACACACACACACACATATATATATATAAATAAATATAGTACATTAGTACGTCACAAAAAGAGTACAAAAGTTCCAATCTTTGTCATGGCCATCCTTAGACATTAGGGGAAGGACTCAGAAATTTCCACTTTCCGGCCAATTTGATAAAATGAAAATAAAATTCAATTTAATAGCATGAAAACAAAATTAAATGTATATGTATGTACAGCAGGTTATTGTTATTATTTGGGGAATAGAAGTCTTACCATATCTTTTTTAGTATGCGAGAAGATCAAAGGCTATTTTTAATATTTAGGAATTATTTTATTTTATTTTATTTTTAAGACTTTGAAAGGACTGCAAGTTTTGTGATTCGAGAACATAATGATTTGGTTTTAAATGGTGAGATAGCATACCTCGTGATATTCATGAAAAAGGAATTCAATGGAGTGTTTCAAAATTTTCACACTTTTTCATCATATTCATTAAATAGACAAAGAAATGCACTGATTTAAAAATGACAACATATCTATAAAATTTTAAAGTGTAATTTACGTAAAATTGGTGAAGTATTAAATTCAATCTAGAAAAACTAATCTTTAATTCCTGAAAAAAAATTCACAATAAAAATAGTAAATACGATGTTGTATTTCTCTATTAAAGTCAATTTTTCCATAGTTACTCTCTCAATATTCTCTTTCCAAAAGTATACATATTCATATTTTTCATCTACCATACTCATCACAACATCAATATTGAAGATGCCTTAAATTTTTTGAGTAATCATCTATAATCCCAAACTTTAACTATATGAAAGAGATATAAACATAATTCTAAATTTTGGAGTTATAGTTTCAGACCAACGCATAAAAATTATTTACATACTTTTCTCTTCATAGTTAATTATGCATAGCTTCAATACACACACTATGTTCAAGTAAAAATCTAGAACTAAGTCGTGTGATCGCTGCTGATAACTTCCAAAAAGAAATAGAAGAATGATTCAATAAAAAGGAAATTAGCTCCCAAAACAAAATCTAAGTGAGAGTTTCTCTTTCTGGCTCTGAAAAAAAAAAAACTAATTATGTCATATCTTATTAGTAATAAAATTATGAAAATCGTTTCCTGATAGTTGTCTATCATTTTTCATTCATTAATTATCAAGTAGTTCTTGAAAATCCTTATAAAGTTTTCATAGTTTTTGAGAGCTGCTTTAAATAATAAAACAAGACAAGGTTTTGGTTGCTTTAAAAAAACTTGAAAATTTGTATTTACATAATTTTAGAAGGTCGAAATTCAATAAGAAAAAAAAAAAAAAAAATTAATTAATACTTCGATTAAAGTCGAAAGTCCCATAATGAGTCAACTTGCGGTTTAGCCGTTAAGATTACGCTACGTCCGTTAGTCTCTCTCTCTCTCTCCACCGACCGCAACGCTCAATTTTAGAGCGAGAAATTACGTGCCGTTTAAACACTATAAAAAAGGGTCACCGAGCTCTCAGCACCTTGTCTTTTGGTTAGATCTCATTTCCCTCCCATTTCTCCTTCCTTTCTCTCTCCACAACTTTCTCTCTCTAACATTCACTTCTATACGAGCTTCTTCTTTCGCAGGTATGCCCCAGATCTCGCCCTCGCCAATCTCTTACTGTCCGATCTGATGATTCTATTCATTCTCTTTCTCAAGTTTGCATATTTATTCAAATTTTGCCGAATTTCAGGTTTACCTTTTCCAGTTTTGTTATTTCCCTTTGATTTGAGTTGTCATTCAATTGATCTTTGTTCAATTTGATGTTTTATGGTATTTGCTTATTAGATCTAGTGAGATTCGAATGTGTAAGGATTTTGATCTAATAATTTGCTTCTCATCAGCCATTTGTAGTGATATTAACTGCAAAAGTGCTCTCTTTTCTGTCAATTCGAGTTGTGTTGTCAAAATATATTTCTGAATTTCAGAGATCCTGTTCTACATGTGTATAGGGCGTCGGGACTTTCATTTTATATAAAGAGGATTAGTGAAATTGTAAAAATTCCATGACGTTTTATTATAGAGACAATTGTGTTTCTGGGTAGGGGCGAAAAGGGCCCGTATGTTGTCTTCCTGAATTATCAAAGTAAAGGCATTTCACGATTTCAACAAAATATTGTACCGATAAGTAATTATTAGTGACCCATTAGATCAAATGCTTATTAAGAATTCCTATATCTTGGTTGGTGAAGAACCCATTTGGTAGTATTTTTTGTGTTCCTATTTTTTAAGGTTTCGTATATTCTTGTTTGTAATATCTATTTATGCTGACATCTTGTCTGATCGTTTCAAAATTTTGCTGTGCACCAGCCTTATGTTTTATGACTTTCTTGTTTGTTAATTAAACAAATGAATTCTACAAATTTCTTTTTGGCAAGCTCTTAAATTGTCTTCTTACTATTGTTATGCAGATAATTACTTTAAAACACAATTTAGTTGGCACTCATGGGGACTGCTGTTGATGTTGCGAAGGTAGCTTTTGATTTCTTTTCTTGTTGCATGTTCTTTTGAAAAGTCTGATCTATAAAGAGAAGTCCTTTCAGATATTTAGTTCAATGCAAGGAAAGAGAAAGTCCTTCTGGATATTTAGTTCAATGCAAGGAAAGAGTTGTTTATTATTATTCTTGTGATTGATATCAGCCTGATTTATTGTTTTCCAGCTTGGGAAACTTTGATCAACCCGGAATTTTAAAATACCTAACCTGGTGAAATCCGAATCAATTTGTGAAATGAAATGCTTTACTTTTTATTTTGAGGTTCTTGGTATATTTAAACCAGTCAAGCAGTTGGAGATTGTGATGTCTGAGGAATATAGAGGTTATGTGTTTTTTAATTCACTTTATCTAATGGCAGACTAGATATATTAGCTAAGAAAGACTAATCCTTCTAGCATGAATGTCTATCTTGTTCTTTTTCATCTGATACCAACTCATGCATACACATATGATTCTGAGTTATTATTTGACAAATATGTTGGATTGCAGGAAACAAATGGGAGCTTGCTAACTAAGAAGGTTACAGTTGTTTTTGTCTTGGGTGAGCACTTTGGTTTTTGTATCTATGTACAAATATTTTAAAGTATGATATTTTCAGTTGGGTCTTTGCTCATAAAGTATGATATTATCCAATATGAGTATGCATCACTACTATTGAAGACTTCTTTTTCTTTTCTTTTTTTAATTCCTCTTGTTGATTAGTAATAGGGTTTGAAGTCACTTTGAACCCACAAAGAAATCTGGTAGTATATTCTTTAAAATTCTAGTGGTTGTATATTCTAACATGGTCTTTACTTGTCAAAAAAAAAAAAAAATGGTACTCTTTTTCTGATTAACATGGTATTCCTTACTCTTTGAACTAACATGATATTCTTGCTCCTCGATATGTTTCCATCCTTGAGTAGTTAATTCAAACCTGCATCAATAATATAAAGAATATCTTATTGTGTGTGATTTTTTTTTTTTTTGGTTGAGCTTAGTTTGTTTATGAATTGAATTGAGCTCAATGTTACTCCTTGTCACTTCTGTGCCAGTTAACAATATCTAGCTTTTAGGTCTGCTTTCCTTGTCTTTAAAAGAAAAACATTAGCAGCAAGTTTAACTTCTGAATTGATCTGCTTCTTTCACTTTTAATTGAACAGGTGGCCCAGGCAGTGGAAAGGGCACCCAATGTACAAATATTGTTGAACACTTTGGGTACACCCATCTCAGTGCTGGAGATCTTCTCCGAGCAGAAATTAAATCCGGTTCTGAAAATGGGTACAATTTTCTTTCTGTCATTTTCTGGCTTAGCCATCCACAGTTTGTTCACATTCCTCGACGGTTGAATAAGTAGAGTGCTTCTTGGTTCACTGTGATTATCATCAATGATATAAGAAGAATCAACTTTATAGTGGGCATTAATTTTAAAATGGGCTAGTTATCATTTTTCACATTGGGTACTCAATAAAATGTGGAGTCATCATCTAGTTGTTAATATGGATGATTTTGGCTGAACCTCGTGCTTGAATTATATATTTTGCCTCTTGCATTCCAATAATTCTTAGGTCAATTAGTCTAATCATGTGTAACAAATCATATTATCTCTTACATTTGGATTTGTCTATATTGAGATATTGATTGTGTTGGTAAGAATTTCTTATTAGATTCCATTTTTTCCATATATATCCTTTTTGAGTAAGGAAGTGCCTTGGGCATCTTTGCATGCTCATTTAATGAAGCAAACAAAATAAATGACACAATTAGTATTGTCCCCTGTGGTCTGCTTTTGGTGTAGACAAATCTATATCCTATGAGCCATTACCCTCCCTTCTATTTGAGGATACATTCTAGCATGCCTCTCTTAAGGTGTAGGTATGATCATTTTGAAGATAACCTCTAGTTTTTTATTATAAATTTTCTACGAAAATAGGTCATTTTTTTTTTTGGCCTTCCCATCCACCTTCTTGTTGTGCCCTTCGAATTTGATATTCAGGGTTTGAGTCCTTGCCAAGGGATATGCTCAATGGCCATCTAAGTTTACCTTTCCGTACGAGTGACATTCTGAATTGAGTCCCTTTGATTTGGGTGGGGAGGAGGATAGAATTGAGTCCCTTTTGTTGATGTGTCTCATTTTGGAAATACCTTATGTTAGGAACTGACCTGATTGGACAATATCTGATAGATAAATTAACCCTCAGGTTACCTTTATTTAAGTTATTTTGGCAGAAAAGATTTTTGTTTTAATTGGAAAGATCATTTACATGGCTTTTAGACCTTTCTTGTTGATCAATTTTTCTCACCTTTGAGAAGAAAACTCTTTTTCAAGCTCAGGTGCAAATCGTTCAATTTAAGAACAAACAGGATTCGTCCCGGTCTAGCGAGTGCTAATTGCTATTCAAAGGAAACTTGTATCGACTGTCTTGCTAGGAAATGAATTATATATTAAAAGACGAAATCTTTGTATTTTCAGTATCTTTCCTTTGGCTAGTCCAGTATTTCCACAAATCAAATGGTTACTGTTTTTCATTGATAATGAAGTTTGTTCTGTATTTTTCATATTCTGTATGCTTCAAATGCATTTTTTTCTCCTCCATGTGTTGCATAACTTGCATGTGGGATGTTAAGGCATAGAGCCCATAAAGAAGTTAGTTGTTTATTCATCTACTTATCCATATATAGTTCTTTCCAACTATGATGTGTTCAACTTGTTTTATCTTAAGCTTTGGGTTCTAATAATTTTGCGCCGAACCTTGGTTCTAAATATTATGTTCGCTGATAACTTATAGGACCATGATTCAGAACATGATTAAGGAGGGAAAGATTGTCCCTTCGGAAGTAACAATTAAGCTTCTCCAACGAGCAATGCAGGAAAATGGTAATGACAAATTTCTTATTGATGGCTTTCCTCGTAACGAGGAAAACCGTGCAGCCTTTGAGTCTGTTGTAAGTCCTCTATACAGCTCCATGTTAAATCTGAATTTCACTAGTTGTATGTATGCAATATTGCAAGTAGAATCGCTTTGACTGTAATACCCAGTTCAAAATGGTTCAATTATCGTTTTCTTGTTCTTGAAAATGCAAGTTCAGGATACAATACATTGCCTTGATTGCCATACACTTTGATGGTTTGCAGACTGGAATTGCACCAGAGTTTGTCCTGTTTTTCGATTGCTCAGAGGAAGAGATGGAGAAGCGCCTTCTGGGGCGAAACCAGGTTAACCATACCTATTAGTTTTGCTGTTCATCTCTTCCTATCTCTGTTTCTTTTAAAGCTTAGTAACTTTTTTCATTTTTAAAATTTATTCTTTTCATTTTCCTTCTTGTAATAAAGGGAAGGGCAGATGATAACATTGAAACAATAAGGAAGCGATTCAATGTTTACATGGAATCTAGTCTCCCTGTGATCGAGTATTACAACTCTAAGGGGAAGGTTCGCAAGGTAATATTTTATTGATACTCCTTTTTTACAACCTTTCTGCATTATTTATTTCAATTACTGATGTTGCTTCTGCCCTCAGATTGATGCTGCAAAGCCTATTGCAGAGGTATTTGAAGCAGTTAGAGCCGTTTTCACCCCCACCAAATGAGAAGGTAAATCAGCTCCTTGGAATTTTGTTCGATCTAAAACCCGTCAATTTAGATGGAATATAAAATCTGAAAATGGGGTGCATCAGTGCTGTTGGATGAAGCATGCAATTTCTTGATGATAAATGGCATGATAATTATATAAACTAATAATATGCTTAATTTTCTAAATGGTGAAAGATTACGGGATTAAGGATTCTTAGCTGCTGCCAACAATTTGGAGAAAGACTAATTGAAACAGATATTGTGGAGTTGTGGGTAAACTTAAATAATGGATTCACGGGGGAAAAGCAATGTATGTTAGGGAAAATTCAGAAATTTCATGGAACTTTATGAATAATTTGATAGTTATTGAATGATGTAATGTGAAACAAGAAAATGCGCAATTATGCTCACTTAAAAGAAAAAGGTAACTTTAGCTAAGTTACAGAATTCAGCCATTTCTGCCCACATACTGTTCTGAGGACAAACCCTTCTTTTGAGAATACACTTCTTGAAGCATGAAGAGTATGGAACTTCAAGATATTTGCTGTGTTCCTCACAAACTACTGAGCTAGATGTTAGGCTTCGGAGGTTGTGGACACGTTACTTGTCCAGTCACTGAACCAAGGATCTTATTTACAAGACAGTCTTCAGTGGACTTAAAAGATTAAATAATTTTTTTCTAAAATGTTCAAATGCAAAGTTCATAAAATGTTTTTTCTTTGTACTGAGAGGATTTTTTTTCTTTGATATATAAATGATTATCTGTCACTAGTATTCAGGAGTAGGTTTTGTAGATTGACAAGTATCACTGAGATTGCAATGTTCTGCAATAATTTTGAATTGTTTTGCTTCTAAACATTTTACTGCTTTCAAGTAAATTTTCTCATTTTTTTTCTTTCTTTTTTTTTTTTTTTTTCGCTCTTTCACCAGGTGGTTCTTTACTTCGCACACCTTGTACTTTGTCAGCAGCTTTCATGGAACCAGTCCGGTCCTGTGTTTAGTTACTTATCATAGAATGTTACAGTTTATTATTATTATAGTTATTATTTGATAAACAACGTTACATTTTAATGTAACTGAGGTATTGTTACTTATCATAGAATGTTACAGTTTATTATTATTATAGGTTATTATTTGATAAACAAAGTTACATTTTAATGTAACTGAGGTAATTTTACCTCTGCACTCTTATTATTGTGATTGAATTTGAATAATAAGATTTATACTTCAAATTATGCTCTTTCTCCACTGGCACTTCTGATGATAAATAGCGCAAATTTTGTTCAATATACTTGGATTGTACCTGTTCTCTCACAGCAGTTAGCGGAACTTCTATTACAAAGGTTGGTTTTGATCTTGTTATGTACCTCCTCAACCTCGATACCAATCGAATAGGAAGGATTAAGGACACATTAGTTGATTGTGAGAATGAGGTCTATAACCCTTGCTTGCTAATGAACATGAGGTCTATATATATCATGTAGTTAATATGCTAAGAGACATAAGCTCTAGGGATATTCTTTCATTGAGATCTGTCACTGGGACCTGGAACTTCTACCATTTTCAGAACAGACATGTATCTTAATAGCAAACTAAAGCCATTTATCATGCTTTTACTAATCATTAGATGACTCCAAAATGAAAAAATATGCTCCATTCAGACTCCCTGAGGTGGTCTGAGAACTCGTGCACTGACCATGATTACTACCATTGTTATCACAAAGAACAATATTACCGTAATGCTGTTCTCTGAAATTATTTTGACATTCAGTTCTCATCAAAACAAAACATATACTATACATTTATACACATACATAGATTCTTAACAGGCTGATTCTTTGCATTGCACGGAATTCTGAAATTACACGACATTATACGCATAACTATGTCCTCAATTAATTTTCAGAAATTTCGTGCAGCATCCTGTTTTTTCAACATTTTAATAGAAACCTCTCTCAGCAGATGATGAAGCAATTAACAAATTTAAGACCAAAATCTATATGGTACAGGTTCAAACAAATATAATCCCATTCTCCTTGATGGTATCAAGAACAATCCCAAGCTTACCTTCAACTCGCTCGCCCTTTCTGAGATCAAAAGACATTGCAAATACATCAGCTTCTTTTGATCGTTCGGCAATCAGCTTCCCTACAATTCTACATGCATCGTTATCCGTGAGTGATGGTAACGTGTTCCTCAAATCCTTGGCATTTGTGCTAGCAACTGATATCACTTTGCTGGTTCCGCGATGCATAACTTTTGCATGGATAAATCGCTTTGAAAAGAAAACGTTGAGTAGAAATGGCCTCATATACATATCTGTCCTTTGTTTCCATGATTTCTTGTTAGGCCTGTTCGCGGCTTCACCTCGAGACCTCCGTGTCCAGGCAGCATGAACAACAAAATCCTGCAATTATAAACAAGAGAAATTGATTTTTCTATTATTTTTTTCTCAGAAAGGATGAAAAGAGATCATACAAAGCAGGCATTATTAACTCATAAACTATCCACTTCTCAAAGAAATTTGAGTACTTTACCTAAAATTTTGGTATGCACAATGGAATATAGAGAGGATATAAATACATGATATGGTTGGAATTTTTTTAAGGAATAGATTATTCAAAAACGTTGTGTTGAGTAAAGATTGATGAACACAAAGTTGAAAAAATCCATAATTTCTGAAACAAAAACACTCCTTTTAGGTTTTCAAGGTTAAATTGGGCAGGTCTGATAGCGAAATTTTATGAAAAAAAATGCCAAAATCAAAGTTCAAAAGATATTTAATGACACTTAATTAGATTGTAAGATAACACCGTTGTAATTTTAGTTAAACAAGTATAGAAATGGGTTAACATTTCACCATCTTTAGGCTTTAGCAGCAAATTTCTAAATAATATTTCATAAATTAAATAAAATTCTGGTTTAGTCAACTGACTACCACTACACACCTCATAAAGACACTCCAAATACTGAAATTTCGAACTGTGTCGTAAATATTTCTTTTAAATTTGACAATTTGGGTCTTCTGCTCCATTGAAACATTAGGCTGTCTTAGATGATCAATTAGGTTTTTCTATTCTATCTGGTTCAGTCCATGTACACATAATCCGAACATCACCCACCAAGAATATTATAAATACACACAGAATATTATATCTTCGGATAAAGGAATTAATACAAACCCTAACATTAATGCAAAAACAGGGATATGGGTTAGCTAAAGGAGATATTGATGAATAACCTCTAATAGAAAGCAAAACCAAAAGAAAGAGAAACAGAAAACAGATTGGATTTGTAGAAAAATGGGGTAGTTTACATACCTTGTTAGGAGTGAAGTGAAAAGGGTTTGTGATTGAATTTGGGGATAGGTTCAACTGGGGAAATGAAGACGACCATGAAAGTGAAGTGGGTTTCTCTCTGCGACCGCCATAGAACTGAGAGGAGAGAAGAATCGATGATGATGGTGAAGAAGATATGCAGGCGGCCATGGCTGAGCTTATCAGGAGATGCAGAGATTCAGCCTCTTTTTTTCTATTTCAGAGTTTGTTTTTTTCCATTAAAAAGCCACTCCCCAAAAACCTCCAGTAAGCGAGAAATTCTTGTGACTCATGTCCAAATATTAAGCAACTGATATAAAAATAAGAATAATTACTATGGTGGGCCATTTGGCCAAATACAACCCAAATAAAGGGAAAACTGAAGCCCAAAGAGAGGCCCAACATGGGAGAAGCTCAAGACTAAGGTTTTGAACTAATAATCGCAGTTAACGACTTGATTAGCCGTTAATGGTGGTTGTTAGTGTTCATTCCGGTTGATAGCCCTAAAAGAAGATCATCCACGCAACATTCAATCTGGCGGTCTCGGTGGAGGACAATAGCAAGCAGGGGAAAGGTTCCCGTCAGTCAGTAAGGATTCGTCTCGATGAGGGACAATCACGTAAGAAGCCCAAATTTAAAATTGCAGTGATGGTGGAACTGATTCTTGCAAGAACCATTCTCTGACTAGATTTATTCCCTTTGAAGAAGATCCATCGTTTCTTTCTTCCCAATTGTGGTACACCATAGATGAGAAGCATACAGAGATGGCAATGGGGCTGTTTAGGCGAAACCCTACTCCGACAGACAAAGTACCAACTCCGTCCCGCATACTCCATTTAATTGTGGGGTAGGGTGGGTTATGCCACTTTTAATATTTACTAAAACAAAACTAGCCCAATGTGCTCAAATTGAGCTAATAAATAAGTTAGTTTATCTTTTAAATTACTAAATAGTGAATATTAATATATTAACGGACATTTTTAGTAAACTAAGAAGTGTCTTAAAAATATTAAATATATTATTTATATATATATATATATATATATATATATATATATATATATATATATTAAAGGCACATATATAAGCAGGGGCGGGGCAGGTTCATCACTAAATTCGCCCTTACCCCAAACCCATTTCGAATTTTCAATTATTTTATCATATTCGTCCCAAAATTATTTAAGGGACTACCAAATCCCTCCCATTGGCAGAAACTCGTTGGGTTGGAGGAAATTACCATCCCTAAGCAAACCTTGCGAAACAGGTTTGTGAGTAAATTCCTCTTCCATTGTGAGCTTATCGGATGTATCAAGTCCTCCCAACTTGTAATTGCAGTATAGAATTTACATTTGTGTTCGATAAATCACCAGATTGGAGAGACAAAACAACAATTAAAGAATAGGCGTTGATGTGACTCTGGATGATTTTGGCAAAGACCACATATATTGTCATGGTGTGACATGGCTCTGCTATCAAGAGTAAGAAGCATGGATTGAACTTCATCCTGGTTAGTCTGGTTGGTTTAGTATTCTATTTCTTGAAAATTAAAATTTTTAAAATTGTACAAAAATATGTTTATTTAATTTCTAAGAATTGTTTTCTAAAAATTCAGTTAAAAATATATATATTTTAGTGAACCCTTTTGTAATTTAAAAAAAAAAAAATTATGAGTTATTGAAAATTATTTTTTAAATGACAAATTAAATAAATTTTTAATTTTATCTAAATTATTTATTTTAAAATAATATTAGGATATTTAAAATAATATTAGGATAAGTAATGCTATCTTGAATGTCCTCTTTATTTAATCAATAAATTAAAAGTGTTATTAAACAACTTATTTAATTTTTCAGGTATGTTTCAACAAAACACTTTTCAACTACGAATAAACAAAATGACGATGAAGCAATTGACAAATTGGAAAACTTGCTGAGCCCGAATGAAACAAGAACAAATCCTAAATTATTGATTATGGATGATGTATGGTCTGAATCAAAATCCCTTATTCATGAATTCGTGTTACCAATAATATAGGTTATGTTACAACAGTACATAATGGAGAGAAAAGAAAACAACAATAATGGTAAAGAAAATAGCAAATAAGTGCTCACAAAATAGGAGGCAAAAATTTAATGTGGTTCGGTTATTTGACTACAATACAAATTGAGCAAAGTTTTTCATTACGAAGATCGAGAGGGTACACAAATTGTGACTCACACCCAATAATACAAAGAGATTTAGAGTCTCACAAATATCTCTCTCCGAATGCTGCTTGAGCTCTTTGCACTCTATAATTGCATTTTGAGGCAAAAGCCTCTAGTTATTTATAGCCGTAAGTCTTCCAACATGCACCTTCAGCCATTATTTAATCACAGAAAATATAAATTCAAATTCACTTAACTTTTCACATATTTTAATAAATTATTTTAATTTAGTGATTAAATAATAAAGGCTCATGAATAACATTACTCTTACTCTATGCAGCATGGACACAAAACACGGATATGACATGACATAGATATATCGACATGTTAAATTTTTAAAAAATAAGACACGGCTATATATAAATATGAATTTATGATTAAATAATAAAGGCTCGTGTCTCTAGAGGAGAACTCTCATGAATAACATTACTCTTACTCTATACAGCATAGACATGAAATAAGGATACAACACGACACAGATACATCGATACGTCAAATTTTTAAAAAGTAGCAAACGAGTACGACTATATATAAGTATGAATTTTTTTTTATATACATTTATTGAGTATTAGTATTATAAAATTTTAATTCATTTCTAATTTTTATACTAAGTAGTACTGACTTTTATATAATATCTACAATTATTTCACTACATTGCCATAGTAGCATTTTTATTTTAATTGAACAAATATTATTTAATGTTTCGTTTGTGATCATTTGTGTATAATATCAATTTTTTAAAAGAAAATAGTTGCACACTTTAAAATGTGTTTATATTATTATTTTGAAGATTGCCATGTAGGTTAGTCTTAAAAATGTTTAGAAGTGTCGGTTTAAGTATCGAGTGTCGAAGAAGTGTCCAAAAGTGTACTTGTCCAAATAAATAAAAAAAATTATTTACGGGCACGTATATGAAGTGTCGGACACGGGTCCGAGTAGTGTTCGACACGACCACGACACGAATATGACTCCTTTGTAAAATTGTTCAGTTATTTATAGCTCTTACTAAATAAAGCAAACTTGATCTCATTTATTGAATTTAATGCATCACACAGAACAAACATTTTGAGTTTCATTTAAATAGACTTGGGAAAAATATATATATATAGTAACTCATTTGCCAATACTTATGTTAAAATTTGTTTTCAATTTTGAAAAGTTCCATACTTATTTATTATAAAAATAAGGATAAAGTGCAATAAATCCCCTTCAACTATGGTCTTATGAACAAATAACCCCTTGAAAGTAATAAATATGCATTTTACCCTGAACTGAGGGGTCTGGTGGCAATTTACCCAATCCGGCCACCAGAGGATTGTTTTTGGCCGTTAAATTGGGCGAGTCTGTCACGTGAGTAGCATACTAAAATTAAAGGTGACACCCCCACTAGTTTGGCCAAATATCAGTTTAAAACATCTTTCGAAAATAACTATCACTTAGGTCCATTTTCGTTTTTCCATTACAGCCTCCGTTAAAAATATGGGAAAAGACATGTTTGTCCCTAATTTTTTAATCATATTTATTCCAAAATATTAGATAATAGAAATGACTTTTGTACCCCTACACACATTGTTTCTCTCTCCTCTATCTCCCAGACCCAAATTTCCCCTTGTTCCCCTTCACTCACCAGTGGGTGAAGTACCGGCTGTCCAAGCCGCCGACAACCAAAATTCGCTTCTTCTTTGATGTTGATTTTGTTGGTACTATTTGATTGCTAGAAGAAGAGACGTTCGCTTCACCTGAAGCTGTGGAATCATTCATGGCGGATAAGTTATTGAAGTTTGGTTATGTTGGGAAAACTAAAGGGTAATATTTTGAGATTGTTATGGGAGAGGTCAAGAACAGAGAGGCTTCGAAAACTAGAGAGATGAGCCAAGTTAGTGAACCTGTTTGTAGAAAGATTAAAGACTTGAATCGATGAAAATGAAGCTATATCTGAAGTGGGTTCGAACCCAATGGTCCCTCCGAATTGATTCTTGGAGAGATTGACTTTGGTGAGAGATGGGCCGGACCAGAACTAACCTGGAACAGAGCCTTTGAGAGAATTGTTGGAGAGGTCGATGGTTTGAAGGTGAGACATGTTTCTGAGGAACCACCATGAGAGAATACCAGTGAAGTTTCTGGAGGAGAGGGCCGAAGTTGAATCTATGGTCTTCGGGATCGCTGCAATTTCCGGCGGAAAAGTGGTTGGTGCAGAGAAGAGGTGGTGGAAGGAATTGGGCATAATTTCTTGAGTGGCTACCTCACAATTTCGGATTTCCGAAAAATGATTTCGTTTCGTTGTTAAAGAAAACAGGTGATTCCATAATCTCTCCGGTGAAATTGTTGAATGACAAGAGTGGAGTTCGCCGGAATTTTGTCTGCGAAATAATGTTTGGACAGAAAATGAAATTAAGAATATGACTGTAGTTGGTGGTATTAAGTATCGAAATATATTGTTTTACAAGTATGCGAGTACCGTTTTAGTAATACATATTGTTAGTATGAAATAGAGTACATGGAATGTTTGGTTTTCCAGTTTCCACCATTACTTCTGACAAAAAATTGGAATAATTTTTATTTTCTTCTGAGAGTAACGAAGTGTGTTTTTTGACAAAGAACCAGTATTTCGTACTCTGAGCAATAAAGGAACTGGGAATTTTCTGCAACAACTTCCATTTTCTGTTTCCCTCTATATAAACACATTCAATTTTTTAAAACGTACGATAACCTTTAAAATTTCATTAATTTCCTTAAAAATATATATATGAATGGATGATTTTTCTTATTTTAATTTTTAAATTTTTTCTTATTTTTCTCTTTCTCTTTTTAAATTTCATTAATTTCCTTACAAAAATAAAATTTTCTTATTTAAAATTTCATTAATTTCCTTAAAAAAAATATATGAATGGTTGCTTTTTCTTATTTTATTTTATATTTTAGTTTTTAAAATTTTTCTTATTTTTCTCTTTCTCTTTTTAAATTTAATTAATTTTCTTAAAAAAATAAAATTTTCTTACTTAAAATTTCATTAATTTCCTTAAAAAAAATAGAACCTAACACTTGTATGGCATATAATAGCCCTCAATACTAAACTGTATGA